TCTCTCTTTCCTCCTCCTTCCTCCCTCTTCCTGTTTTATTTTTATTTTTTTTGAAGCAGGATCTCACTATGTAGCCCAGGCTGGCTTAAAACTCTCCACCTTCTTCCCTCAGCTACCCAGGGCTAGCTTTACAGGTGTATGCCACCACAGGATAGATTATTTTATACATATATTGAATAAACATCAAGATGTAAATTGGCATTTTTGTTTTTTGAGACGGGATTTCTCTGTGTAACAGCTCTGGCTGTCCTGGAACTCATTTTGTAGACCAGGCTGGCTTTGAACTCAAGAGATCCACCTGCCTCTGACTTCCGAGCTCTGGGATTAAAGGTGTGTGCCACCACTTCCTGGCTTCTTCCACTTTTATCTGGGTTCTGGGGATTGAACTCAGAATGTCAGTCTTGTCCAGCAAGGGTTTTTTTTTTTTTTTTTAAATGGTTTTTTGAGACAGGGTTTCTCTGTGTAGCTTTGGAGCCTATCCTGAAACTCACTCTGTAGACCAGGCTGGCCTCGAACTCACGGAAATCCGCCTGGTTCTGCCTCACAAGTGCTGGGATTAAAGACGAGCTCCACCACCACCTGGCTTTTTCTTTTCTTTTCTTTTCTTTTCTTTTCTTTTCTTTTCTTTTCTTTTCTTTTCTTTTCTTTTCTTTTTTTAATGGGCAAGTGGTTTTACATGCTGAGCCATCTCACTGTCCCCTCTTCTCCGCTGGCATTTTGAACTAATTTCTAATGCTAACACTCCAGTTTTGAGTCTTTTTTAAATACTTATTTATTTGTAAGGTGGGATGTGGCCACATACGTTATGGCACACATATGGAAGTCAGAGGACAACTTCTAGAAGTAGGTTCTCTTTTTTCACCAAGTGGGTCCTGTGGATTGAACTCAGGTTGTCAGATTTGGCAGCAAGTGTTTTTATCTGTTGAACCATCTTTCCCATCTCAACTTTAAGTCTTAATTACATGGATTTTAAGTGTTTATTAAAAACAAACAAAAATACTTGTGAGAGAGAGAGAAAGGAAGAGGGAGGGAGGGAGGGAGGGAGGGACAGTGGCTAAGTGTGTTTGCCACACAACCCTGGCAAGTTTGATCCTTGGTGCCCAGGATTGAAGGAGAAAATTGACCCCTGAAGTTGTCCTCTGATCTCCATACTGTCTGTAGCACATGTCTGCCTTCCTTGCCTGCCTGAACTCTTACATACATTTCGTATACATTAATAATAAATAAAACTTAAGAAATGGAAGTAGTACATGGCATTTATAGGATAAATATTTGGAAGGTAGAAAGGATTCCTTAAATAAATTCTATTTTCTTCCATAGATCATCTATGTATGGAGATTTATTTTCTATTTTTATATAAATGATTATTATTTATACTTCTGTACCTTGTTTTTAAAAGATAGTATATTTATCTTTATCAATACACCAATTAAAGTTTTTATGATACCTACCCCTATACCTTTCCTTGTTGCCAAGAACTTAGTGATTTTGTGTGTGTGTGTGTGTGTGTGTGTGTGTGTGTGTGTGTGTGTGTGTGTGTTTAACTTGGATTTGGATTTGCTGTAAGTTAGCCTCCAGCTTGTGATCCTCTTGCTCAAGGGCTGGTATTTCAGGCTAGCAACATCAATTCTGACCCATTGATGCTTTGAATAGTAGTATCTTTGTTTCTCATCTTTGTCTTTCATTTCTATTTGAAATATTAGGCATATGGTTCAGAGTATTAATAGTATATTTCTCAACATTAATTGATCTTGTGATTTTTTAAGAAAAGGTATTTGACCTTTTAGAGCCAAATAATCTCTTAATTCCAACCCTAAACTTAAAATAATCAGGTTTATAAGGTTGAATTAGCTGTCAAATTATTTATAGGTTAAGTGTAAGGTCATGCGTTCAGCCTGTTTATGACCGTTCTTGGTTGTATTTAATATTGCAATTATTAATATACATGTTTCTTTGTATATCCATATGTTGAGGAAAAGATACAGTAGGTGGTACTCTCTCTGCCAATTTTGTGTATAAAAGAGCCCTCCCCCCTTTTTTTTTCTCTAGAGAGACCAAACATTTGACTTCGGTTGGCTGTTTCTAGGCCTGAATCTTGACTTATAGGCCTTGTAATATTAAATCAGTTGCTTAGGGCCAATAATGTCCCTTTTATGAAAATTTGGAGATTCAGAAAAGATGAAATACTGTGAAATCATTACTGTTGACTCAAGAAACATTCTTTAAGTAATACAGAATGTTTTCTGATTATCTTCTAATTCTGTTGTTTTTTGGCTTACCTGCTTAATTACCTGACTGTGTTAGGGACATGTGAAGTTATTTTATTGTAAAAACTCATATTTTAGATTTTTTAAGTAAGTTATACAGTTTTGAAATATTTGTTTTATTTATATGTATGTTTATGTTGTGAGCCTATGTGAGGATATGTATACCACATGTGTGCAAGAGCCCATAGAGGCCAGAAGAGGGTGTCAGATAACTCTGGATCTGGAGTTAATGGCATTTGTGAGCCACCTGATGTGGATGTTGAAACTGAATTAAGGTCCTCTGCTAGAGTAGTATGAACTCTGGGTCACTGAATCGTCTCTCCAGCTTCTTCTAGCCTTTTTAGAAGATTGTAATCTCAGATTTGGGAGACAAGTGTAGACAGACCTCTTTTCGAGGCCAATCTGATTTACATAGCAAGTTTTAGGCCACCCAGGGCTATACAGTAAGACCCTGTCTCAAAAAAAAAAAAAAGATGGTATGTGTGGTTTGGTGGTGGTGTCCTCAAGCTTGCTGTGTAACTGAGGATGAACTTGAGTTTCTTACCTTCCTGTCTTCATCCTTCTGAGTGCTGGAAGTATAGGCATGTGCACCACAACTGACTTTGGATGTATTGGGTATAATGGTACTTGCCTGTAACCCCACTACGGAGAAGACTGAGTCAAGAGGACTGCCATGAGTTTGAGATGCCTGGGATACACACACACACACACACACACACACACACACACACACACACACACACACACACACACACACACACGTTCCAGCACTTGGGTGGCAGAGGCAGGCGGATCTCTGTGAGTTTGAGGCCAGCCTGGGCTACAGAGTGAGTTCCAGGAAAGGCGCAAAGCTATACAGAGAAACCCTGTCTTGATAACTGACATTTGTTATTATGCTTACTATGGTATAGAGTATTCTGAGATTACACATGGTAACTCATTTAACTCTCATAACCATGTATAAAGTAGGTTGTTTTTGTTTTGTACTTTAAAAAAAGGATACAGTTTATGAATAGTGTTGGGATTTATATCTAGCCAGTTTTATTCCAGAACCCTTGTTCTTAAGCCTCTTAATTCGGACAACCATTTTTAAGCATCAGATAATCTTATATAAAGGAGTTGGTAGCAGAACCACCCCGGAATCTCTGGTTCTTTCTAAGTCTACTTATGGAAGGAATCAGATGATAACAACTATTTTAATGTGTTAATTATGTGAATTAAGTTTATTAAAAACCAGGTGTCTGTGCTAAATTCAGACTTTCTTATTTTGTATTTTTTTCTTTAATTTCAATTTGTGTATGTGATAGAGACAGATAGATACAGATATGAGTGTGAGCATGTACTTACTGTGTAAAGGTCAGAGGACAACTTTTGGGAGTTGCTTCTTCTCCCTTGTAGAACATCTTAGAAGCTTCTGCATCTGCCCCTTTCTAGTTTCCTAGGATTGAACTGTGGTCATCTGACTTGAGGGGCAGCCAGGCGGTGGTGGTGCACGCCTTTAATCCCAGCACTCGGGAGGCAGAGTCAGGAGGATCTCTGTGAGTTCGAGGCCAGCCTGGTCTACAGATCGAGATCCAGGACAGGTGCAAAGCTACACAGAGAAACCCTGTCTAGAAAAACAAACAAACAAAACAGACTTGAGGGGCAAAGACCTTTTACCCACTGAGACATCGAACTGGCCCTCATTCTCCTTTTTTTTTTTTTTTTTTTTTTTGTTGTTGTTGTTTTGTTTTGTTTTTGTTTTTTTGAGACAGGGTTTCTCTGTGTAGCTTTGGAGCCTTTCCTGGAACTAGCTTTGTAGACCAGGCTGGCCTTGAACTCACAGAGATCCGCCTGCCTCTGCCTCTCGAGTGTTGGGATTAAAGGCATGTGCCACCACCGTCTGCCTCCAGATTTGATTAATGCACTGTGATAAAGTGTCTGAATTACATTTTTTGTGTTTCTTATATATGAACACATTGGTAAGGGCTTTCCTATTGTAAGAAAAACCCTTCAAGTAGCCCAATTTTGGGCTATTGTGATTGTGTGTATGTGTGTGGGGGTGTTAAGTTTTATCTTGTTACTTTTTAGAATTATGTGTATATTTTTATGTGTGGTGTGTGTGTGTGTGTACACACGTGTTTGTGTGTGTGTGTGTGTGTGTGTGTGTGTGTGTGTGTGCAAACCAGAGGAGGATATTAGGTCTTTGAAGATGGAATTAAGGAAGTTGTAAGCTGCTTAGTGTTGGTGCTAGTAGTCAGTGCAGGTTCTCTGGAAGAGCAGTACATGTACTTAACTAATGAGCTGTCTCTCCAACACCTGTTTTGTTTATTAAGCCTGTGTCTTAGTAGGTAGCCTTCGCTAGCCTGGAACTCACAGAGATCTTTCTGCCACTGCCTCACAAGTGCTGGGATTAAAGTCATGTGCCTTTAATTATGTATGTGCCTTAGTATATATGTTTTTAATAGTATGTTAATTGTTTCTTCCTCTAGTTTCATCAAAATTGGATTATTAAGTAGTAGAAAGTCTCCCACGATTTAAAGATGAAGCTAACATTGAAATGGACTGTGTTGTAGATTGCTTTGCTTTTAAAGTGCTACAGGTGATTGTGATGAGCTTAGGAACTAATGCAATAGAAGACTTCAGTATTCACTAACATTCTAGATCTGATACAATTTTGTAGATAATGACTGCAAATGATCTTTTAATTATTCTTAGCAACTTTTAACTTTTTTTTCTTTTTTCTTTTCCTAGTTTATGCCAGTGTGGCTTTATTCATACAGATGAACCAAGCATTGGGATAGCAGTATAAAATTAGAATCAGACAGCTGACTGCTCAGCAGGATGCCATCAACTAACAGAGCAGGCAGTCTAAAGGACCCTGAAATTGCAGAGCTCTTCTTCAAAGAAGATCCGGAAAAGCTCTTCACAGATCTCAGAGAAATCGGCCATGGGAGCTTTGGAGCAGTATATTTTGTGAGTTAAAGGCTTGATGTCAGAGATGTTGGAGTGAAAAATGTTAAAAGAGATAAGGAATTTGCTGAGTAGGAAAACAAACCCTGCTCTCACACTGCTTTTTATACCACACATGTCTACATGCATTATGCAAGGAATGACTTTTTGCAGCTGACATCACTTGGTTGTTCTCTAATTCAATTCCATTTCAAAACTACCTAGAGATAATGCCGTCTCAGCCCAGTCCAATAAGAATGCCTCCCATTTTGAGATGCCAGTTAAAAGCTCTAGCCTGGGCTGGAGAGATGGCTCAGAGGTTAAGAGCACTGACTGCTCTTCCAGAGGTCCTGCATTCAATTCCCAGCAACCACATGGTGGCTCACAACCAACTGTAATGAGATCTGGTGCCCTCTTCTGGCATGCAGGCATACATGCAGGTAGGACGAATAAAGAGATTTTTTTAAAAAAAAGAGCACTGACTCTCTTCCAGAGGACCTGGATTCAGTTCCCAGCACCTACATGGCAGCTAACAACTGTCCATAATGCCAAGATCTGTCACCCTCACATAAACATATATGCAGGCAAAGCACCAAAGCAAAACAAAACAAAACAAACCTCTATCTTGTGCTTCCATTAACTATGGAATTGAGATCCTCCAACCCTTTCTTTGGGTGTAATTATTAAGTGAAACTCATTTAAGATTGTATTTTAAATGATACAGTGAAAAACTACATAGACTGAGCCCTAGAATCCTCTTTGGAACAGGAGCTTTTGTCCACATGGAGTTAAGGTATGCCAGTTTCTTGACCATTAGATGTTTGTTCTCATATTCCTCACAGTCCCCAGTCCTTTGGGGTGGTTATTTGTTATATAACGTGATTAGTAGGTTATTGGCTGTTGGTGATTAACTTCACCTTCAGCTGCTCTCCCTTCCCCCCAAGGTAAGAGTTGGGTATGTAATGCCAGTTCCAATTCTCTGGCTCAGGATTGGTTTCCCTGAGAACCATCATTCACTCTAATCCTGTGATAGTCTAGGTTCTTTCCTCAAAACACCTCAGGTGTGGTTGAGAGAGGTTCACTGTAAATAAAAAATGCTGTTTTATCATTCACTAGTGTAGTTGTTCTGGAGGTTGCTTGCAACCAAGGACAAAATTCCAAATATTTTACCAAGACAGTAGTTTTGGGAAATAAAAATATACCACCCTAAATATATCTTCTGGCAAGATTTGTGTTAGTTATTCTGCAGACCCGGGAATGACTCTGAGATGCTGTCCTTGAAAGACTTGTCAGTTTAGGACAGTGTTGCTTGCCTCGCTGTCGTCTCCTCGCTGTCGTCTCCTCGCCGTCGTCTCCTTAGCGTCCCATAGCCTGCTTGCTGTCATCATCCTGAGAAGCTTTCGGAGCCTCATTCTGTAGAGTGCTATTTCCTGGTCAACCATATGGCCATTCTTTTGAGTTTTTTTACTTTGTGTGTGGCTCCTGTGTGTGCACATTAATAATTTGTATGCTTTGTCTCCTCCCCCTTTTCTCTATAACAAGTTCATTTTATAAAATAAAACTATTGAACCTTCTGAGGAAAAGATAAAATTTAAAACTTCCCTATACCGCTTTCATCTGATCTCAGAGTGTGTATTCTAGAATCCCCCTCCCCATACTTGAAACCGAAGATAATACTGAACCTTATAATTTAATGTCTTAATTAAATACTTTCCATGTTCTATGGCCACAGTTTTTGCATTTTGAGGTGTGGCACCAAAACTAGCATACATTTCACTTCCTTCTTTATAATTTTTTAAAATGTGCATTGATGTTTTGCCTGCATGTGTGTCTGTGTGAGGGTGTTGGATCCCTTGGAACTGGAGTTATAGACAGTTGTGAGCTGCCATGTGGGTGCTGGGAATTGAACCCAGGTCCTCTGGAAGAACAGCTAGTTCTCTTAACCTCTGAGCCCCCTTTCTCTATAATTTTATAAATAGAATCTTGTTCTTACTGTAAAGTTTTAGCAGCATCAACATAGCTTTTTGTTGTGATTTTTGAGACAAGGTCTCTTTACAAAGCCCTGGCTTTCCTAGAATTCACTATGTAGTCTAGGCTGGCTTCAAACTTACAGAGATCTGCCTGCCTGTTTCCCGAGTGCTGGGATTAAAGGCATGTGCCACAATGCCTGGCTAACATAGCTTTTTCTTAATCCAGTTGAGAATATTTTTAAAGATTTATTTATTGAGGGAGCTGGAGAAATGGCTCAGAGGTTAAGAGCATTGGTTGCTCTTCCAGAGGTTCTGAGTTCAATTCCCAGGAACCACATGGTGGGTCACAACCATCTATGATGAGATCTGGTGCCCTCTTCTAGTGTGTGTATATATAATAAATAAAGAAATATTTTTTTAAAAAAGATTTATTTATTGTTTTTTAAAGTGTGTGTGTGTGTGTTGCATGTTTTTACATGTGTGAGGACTTGGATGGTCATCAGCATGTTGGGAATCAATCCTAGATTCCTCTTCTACTTCATTTGTCTAAGCAGGATTTACCCAGAGCTCACTCTCAGGACTCTTCTTGTTAGCTAGCTTGCTCCAGTGATCCTGTCTCCTTCCAGAGTTGGAATTAGGTGGACCATTAAATCTACCCAGTATGGTGTTGGTTTTCTGGGGAATCCATACTCTGCTACTCTCTATGCTCCTTGTGATTTCTTGTGTTGTTGGTGCCATAACCAGTGAACCATCTCCCCAGCCCCTTTTGTCACCTTGTTGTAAGACAGTATTTCTCTGTGAGGCCCTGGCTACCCTGGAACTTTCAGTGTAGATCAGGATGGCCTTGAACTTACAGAGATCTGCCTGCTTCTGTCTCCTAAGTGCCTGGCTTATTTTCATACTTTTTTCTTCAAAGGAAACAGTCTTCTCTTTGTCATGTCAAGATTGCCATTATCTCATTACTCTCATAGTTTGGTACTGTTACTGTGTAAATTTATGAATGTTTGAACACAAGGACTTAGATAACCACGACAAATCATCAGGATGCTCTCAGTCACTTATGGGTGGGTAGAGTTTGCATCATAGATGTGCTGGACAAAAGAAATGGTTCATGCCGGGCAGTGGTGGCTCACGCCTTTAATCCCAGTACTCAGGAGGCAGAGCCAGGTGGATCTCCGTGAGTTCGAGGCCTGCCTGTTCTACAGAGCGAGATCCAGGACAGGCACCAAAACTACACAGAGAAACCCTGTCTCGAAAAACCAAAAAAAGAAAAAAGAAAGAAAGAAATGGTTCACGTCCTAACTAGATGGAATATGCTACTAAGAATGGCATACAGTTGCAGACTTTAGAGAAAGAGAGGAAGACACAGTCACCATAGGTCAGTCAGAAAGATCAAGGTTCAGAGCCTACATTTTAGTTCAAAATACCTAACCAGTTGATAGAAATGGCCAAACTTTGGGATATTGGGTTTAGAGCACAAGTCCACTTTTCAGTTTTGAGTAGGTATGTACATACTTTAAGAGTATAATTGCAGATATCTATGACAATTCTGTCTTTAAATTTTTGAGGAGTATTCTAACTGCAAGTGCAGCAGCTACTGTTTCCATTCCCACCAACAGTAAAGACTTAATTTTCTTTGCCTTTGTGATAATGCCTGTTATTCTAATAACCATTGACATTGAATATGTTTTGTTGTTGTTTAGACAGGGTATTTCTTTGTAGCCCTGGCTTTCCTGGCTCTCACTGTAAGGATCAGGATGGCTTCAAACCATTCTCTACCTGTATTGGTTATTTTTGTTGTTTTAAAGCTGTATATATATGGGGGCAGACACTTTTAATCTCAGCACTTAGGAGTCAGAGACAGGTGTATCTCTATGAATTTGGGCCAGTCTGATCTACTTAGAGTTCAGGCCAGCCAGGGCTGCATAATGAGAATGTATCTCAAAAAAAAAAATTTTTTTTTAAGTATTTTTGAATTTTTATGTGTGTATGCCACAAGTGTGAGGGTATTTTCAGAGGCCAGAAGAGGGCCCGAATTCTCTGAAGCTAGAGTTAACAGCTGGTTGTGAAACACCCAGTATGAGTACTTGTAATCAAACTGGAGACCTCTGGAGGAGCAACAAATGTTTTTAACCACTGAGCCATCTCTCCACTCCCAATCTCAGGTCTGTGGCTTTGTATTTTTTTTTTTTATTTTTTTTTATTTTTTATTTTTTTTGGTTTTTCGAGACAGGGTTTCTCTGTGTAGCTTTGCGCCTTTCCTGGGATTATCTTGGTAGCCCAGGCTGGCCTCAAACTCACAGAGATCCGCCTGGCTCTGCCTCCCGAGTGCTGGGATTAAAGGCGTGCGCCACCACTGCCCGGCGGCTTTGTATTTTAAATAGCCTGTCTAGACTATATAAAGAACTCTTAGAACTCAATAATAAAGATGCATAGTTTAGAACATGAATATTATAAATACTTGAATTAAAAATTTTCCAAAGAAAATTACAGATGGATAATAAATAAAGCTTATAAAAAATATTCAACATCATTACTCATGAATTTCAAAATATTTTGTAAATTATCATCACAAAAGGCCACATGTGGTTCCTTTTAAATGAAATGTCCAGAATAGGCAAATCTCCAGGCATAGGAAGTAAGTCTATCGTTGCTTAGAGAAGTTGCCTGAAGCAGATAGAATGATAGGTAAATATGGTATAAGGTAAAGCCAGCCATAGTTATAAACACCTCAACATCAGAACTCAGGAAACTGAGGCAGGAACATTTCCAGTATGAGGCCAGCATAGGATATATTAGTGAATTCAAGTCTTGTCTAGCTTATAGATTTTTAGAGACTGTAAAAAACAGAATAAAAACACAGCAAAAACACACTCCAGACCTTATAGATATGATTTGTCATGGTGAACACTTAACTTGGCTTTCTTTACTGTTGAGAAGATTTGGAAGTAACCCTTCCTAAACTTTGAGCATTTAAGTTTATATAAGGTAGTGCACACCTTTGATCCAAGCACTCAGGAGTCAGAGACAGATGGATCTCTTGAGTTTGAGGCCAACTAGGTCTACATAGCATTCTCCAGTACAGCCAGGGCTACATAGAGAAACCTGGTCTCAAAACAACTAGAATAAAATACGAATTATCAAATGTTTTCCCAGTATCAAGTCTTGAGTTTATATTTTATCCTGATAGTTCTTTTCATGTTATATAAAATAATTGAAGTTAAAAAATATTTTCTTGCCGGGCAGTGGTGGCGCACACCTTTAATCCCAGCACTCGGGAGGCAGAGGCAGGTGGATCTCTGTGAGTTCGAGGTCAGCCTGGGCTACAGAGTGAGACAGAGTGAGTTCCAGGAAAGGTGCCAAAGCTACACAGAGAAACCCTGGCTCGAAAAACCAAACCCCCCCCCCCCCCCCCCACACACACACACAAAAAAAAACTTTCTTACATTTATTTTGTTGGCAGAAGGGCCATTGAGGTCAGAGGACAACTTGCAGGAGTCTTGTTTTCTCTTTCCAGAATGTGAGTCTCAGGGTTGAATCCAGGTTACCAAGCTTGGTGGCAAATGAGTTACCCACTGAGCTTATCTATATCCCCATGTCCTATAAAATTTTAGAATCTTCCTGCTTATATTTCTAAATTAAATTGGTATATAACTTTAATAGGTTTTAGTTATAGGATCATACTACTTTCTTACGTGACAGCCTTTCTTTCCTTTTATATACTGAAAAGATAAACACCTGTCTCCCACCCGTGTATGTGTGTGTGTGTGTGTGTGTGTGTGTGTGTGTGTGTGTGTGTGTGTGTGTGTGTGTGTGTTTTCAGGTACATCTTTATGTGTGTAGAGACTAGAGGACTACCTTAGGAACAGTCTTTGTTGTTTTAATTTTATTTTTATTTTCTGTATATGGGTGTTTTGCCTGCATGCATTTATGTATACCATATGTGCCTGGTACCTGTGGAGGCCAGGAAAGGTATGGATCTCATGAAACTGGAGTTATACATGATTATTAGCTGCTGTTATGGGTCCTAGGAATTGAACTTGTGAGAGTGGTCAACGCTCTTCACCACCGTGCCACCTATCCAGCCCTTTTTTGTTTTTTAAATTAGACATGTTTATTTAAAAAAAAAAAATTTCTAAAAATGTGTGTGTGTGTGTGTGTGTGTGTGTGTGTGTGTGTGTGTGTGTGTGTGAGAGAGAGAGAGAGAGAGAGAGAGATACTTTCATGTGATGTCTTCATACTTTCATGTGATGTCTTCAGAGGCCAGAAGTTTGCATTAGACTCTTGGAACTGGAGTTACAAGTGATTGTGTGCCACTAATGTGAGTGTTGGGAACTTAACTCCAGCTCCAAGCACTCTTAACTACTAAACAATCTCTCTCCCCCCTACCATGTTTTTTGAAATAGGGTGTCCTAGGCTGGGAGCTACCCAAGTAGGGTAGACTAGTTGGCTCCAGTACTAGGATCGCAGATAAGTGTTGCCATGCCCAGTTTTTTTTCTTAGAGTCGGTTCTGGGGATCAAAGTCAGGTCCATGCTTAACAAGGCAGTGAGTTTTTTGTTTTTTTCCTGTTTTTATTTTTAAAGAAAGTGTTTGTTCTACAGGGGTTGGCAAGATGTTCTTGTGAGTAAAGACACTTGTTGCCCATCTGACGACCTGAATTTAATCTTCTGGACTCACATAGTAGAAAGAGAACTGATTCTCTAAAGTCCTCTCATCTTTAGACACACAAAGCTCATACCCATTCACAAATATATACATGCATATGCACACACATAAATACAGTAATGGTTTTTACAAGTGTTCTTTAAAAGGAGCTTTATTGCATTTTAGCTTTTTTTAAAAAATTGGTTATATATTTGAGGTTTACAATATGGATTGTAAAATGGTGACTGTAGTGTGAAGTTGATGATTTACCTATTACCTTACATAGTGACTTTTGTATGTGACAAGAGCAGCTAAAAGCTACTTACTTAACTAAAATCCCTAATACAACTTTACTAACTTTAGTTCTGAATTGTTACTAGTTCTTCATATTCCTGTTTGATTTCTTTTGACTCACATCTTCCCTATTTTTTCTGCCACTAAAGGAAATTTTCATGGTTTTTTTTAAAATTCTAGTTTACAAGCACCTTTATTCTCAAAGAAATAACATCTCAGATTTAATCTGTTGGTTTCTATTTCACAATGGTTCTTTCTTTGTTTCTTTTTAAGGCTCGAGATGTGCGTACTAATGAAGTGGTGGCCATCAAGAAAATGTCTTATAGTGGAAAGCAGTCTACTGAGGTAAGTTAGTTATATACATATTTTTGGCATGTTAGGAAAACAAACTGCTTTTAATAAGGGAGAAAAGGAAGGAAATTTAAAATAGATATATTATGTGTAAAAGCATACATTCCTAAATGTACCAGTAGATTTTTCTTTTCTCCCCCCCGTTCATTCGTTTATTCATTCACTTATTTTCCTTACCTTTTTAATTGCCACACTAAATCCCAGATTTCTTTATACTATTTTCATACATACTTAATTGTAGTTGATTTCCTCCTCCCCTCCCCTTCCTGTTCCTGCTTGGTTTCTGCCCTTCCAGTCAGTCTGTACCTTTCCGCCCTAGGATTTCTCCTTCGGTTCCCCACTGCTTCTGTAAAGTGCTTTGTTCCCCTCTAGTTGGCTTCTTAAATTTCCTGACTTCTGCCCGCAGTCACATCAACGAATCTTTCTTTACAAGTGGATGCGGCCCATTTAGCTATTACTTGAGCCATAAACAAAACATTAGTGGCATACCAGTAGCCTCCTAACTTATGTCTTATGCTTTTAGTTTTTTAAGCTGTGGTTTAATAATTATTCTGTGTTTATCCTGATTTCTAAATACTTAAGTAAATTAAAATGTACATGGCAGTAAATTAATAGGATATAACCTTTATTTAAAAATTTTAAATTTTAAATTTTATCCTAAGATAATATGTAATAATTTGAAAAAGCAAAAAGAGAACTAGATGCTTTAGTTTGCCAGTATTCTTATTTCTAGATTATGTTTGGTCTGTGTAATTATATAAATTTATATAATAAAATCTAGGATTCTGAGCCGGGCATGGTAGCACACGCTTTTAATGCAAGCACTTGGGAGGCAGGGGCAGGTGTATCTCTGAGTTTGAGGCCAGCCTGGTCTACAGAGTGAGTTCCAGGACAGCTAGGGCAACACAGAGAAACCCTGTCTAGAAAAACAAAAACAAAGCAAGCTCGCGCGCACGCACACACACACACACACACACACACACACACACACACACACATCTAGCATTCTGAGGGTCTTTAATTTTAAAAACTAACAGTTATTTAGTTGTGATAAAGAGTATTTATAACAAAATTTTCTATCTTATACCATCTTCAAATAGATGGCACAGTAGTGTAAAGTGCATGCATGTCATATAACCATTACCAACACCCCTCTCTAGAATTCTTCTTTTCATTTTGGTACAGGGGAAGTGTACTCATAGTATGGAATAAGATTTGGCTTAGTGCTAAAGTAGTTGATATCTATTCACATGACCACCCCAGTACCACCAAAACAGTAATTCTTTTTTCAAACACCTACCCTCTAGCATCTACAGTTCTACTGTTCCTCATGAAGTTAACTACTGGGGGCACTTTCAAGCATATCCAACCTTTGACACTATGGCATAATGTTGTCATGTACAGAGATCATGCTGGAGAGCTGTGCAACTGAGTTTTTAAAAAATTGCAAAAATCAAGTTTTCTATTTTGTATTAGACTGCGTTCCTAGCCATCTTCAGCTCCATGTTGCCCCCTGAATCCTTAGAACTACAGATTGAATATTCCTGAAGTAGCCATTTAGTGTTTGTCCTTTTGTTACTGGTATATTTTATATCACACAGTATTCTCAATGTTGATACATAGTATAACGTGTAAATTTTCTTCCCTTGCAAGAAACTGAGAAATATTCCATTGTGTTTATATGTGTTACATCTTTTTCTACATGCACTCATACATTTATATTCAAACCTACAAATGGACCTGGGTTCCTTCAGGCTTTTATCTATTGTCAGTAATACTGCTATGAGTATGAGCACACAAACATTTTTTTAGATCCTTGCTTTACTTTCTTTTGGTTATATGTCTAGAAGTGGACTTGGTGGATTTGTTTCAAAGGCTTGGGTCCTATTTGTTTTGAATCTGTTTTGTGGTAAATCTTGGTTTGGTGATTATTACACTGAGGGTATGGTAATACTATTATAATTGTATCTTTCTGTCATTTTGATATCTAAAAACTGACCTTACTTAGAAGTATAATTTTATTTACTATTTTGTTAAAACAACTTTAGGGCTAACAGATTGACTTATTTCATAATTGTTAAAGTCTATTGATCTATTGAACCAGTATTTCATTATTGCATTATTTTTAGGATCTAGTATTGTCCTTCGAATTTTTGCTTACATAGGGATATCTAAATTTTCTTAAGACTTTATCTCGTGGAGTATTCAAATTTGAAGTTTAAAGCTCATAAGATTTTCTGAATCTTACTATTTAAATGTATGATACACTTTTTGTTTGTTTGTTTGTTTTCGAGACAGAGTTTCTTTGTGTAATAGGCCTGGCTGTCCTGGAACTTGCTTTGTAGACTTTGTAGACAAGGCTGGCCTCAAACATACTGAGATCCTCCTGCTTCTTTCTGCCTGCCAAGTGCTGGGATTAAAGGAGTGCACCACCACTGCCTGGCTATGATACACATTTATATAAAAGACTGAATATATTTTGCTATGTTTGATTAAGAGCTTGTAAAATAATATCAGAGATGGATGTTCTTAAACTTAGTATAAAATACTTCTTAATTTCTCTGTTTACTTTTTCATCTCTTAATTTTGTAGCCCATTAGTGAGTGGTAAAGCTTATGAAAACCTAAAACAAGAACCCTATACAATATTTATTAAACTTGTTGAATTTTTGACTGAACCTAATGACCTTTGTTTTCACTGATTTGCTTCTTAAGAGTAAGTATGTAGGTTTGGAAATTTAGCTCAGTAATAGAGCATTTACCCAGCATGTATGTGGCCCTGTTTTCAATTTCCAGCAAAACACACACACACACACACACACACACACACACACACACACACACACACACCCTAATTATGTTTAGGGACTGGGGAGGTGTCTCAATGTGTAAAGTACTTTCCACCTGAGTGTGAGGACCTGAATTTGACTCCCCTGGACCCACATAAAAACTAGGTACCTGTCTGTAATCCCAGTGTTCTATCATGAGATCGGAAGTGGAGACAGAATCTCCAGAATCTGGCTGCACGGCTAGCCTGGCATATACAATAAGAAGAAAGAAAAGGCCCTGTTTCCCAAAACACTCTATTGTTGTCTACTGACCTCTACACATGCACCATGATATTACTATGCCTGTATACACATATGGGCATATGTACACACACACACACACACACACACACACACACACACACACACACACACACACACTGACACATAAAAAAAGAGTTACGTTAAGGATGTGCCCTAAATGTTATCTGTATTTCATGATACTTGTGAGGGAAGGATCTTAGCAGAATATGTAGGAAAATGGTTATTATACTCCCTTTTTTCCATTATCTTCTTTTATACTTAATTATTCCATTAGCACTTTCTTTTATGTATATGGGTATTTTGCCTGCATGTATTTCTGTGCCCCGCATATGTGCGTGGTGCCCAGGGAGGACAGAAGAGGGTAGTGACAATTGATTGCTGCTGGAAGAAGGAGAGTCATTTTTCTTAAGGGTGTGACGCCTGGTAGGTCAGCCCTCTCTAGGGCAAGTCTAATACCCAAAAGTATTTGGGAAGGACAAGTTGAACTGAAAGAGTTTTTATGTTTTGTTTTATTGTTTTTTCAAGACAGGGTTTCTCTGTGTAGCCCTGACTGTCCTAGAACTCACTTTGTAGACCAGACATTCACCTGCCACTGCCTTCCAAGAGTTGGGATTAAAAGGCATGCACCACCACTGCCCAACCGGATGGGTTTTAAAGCAAGAAAGAGGGAACACAAAATTGGGTTGGTAAGGAGGTGGGGTGAATGTGGGAAATGTCCAAGGTGGGAAGATGAATATGATCAAAATATATTTTATGAAATGCTCAAGAAGTTAATAAAATTAATTTTAATTAATAATTTTAAAATAATCTTATTAAAAAAATAAAAAGGTTGGACTTCTGAGGGAAAAAAACCCCTACATGTGTTATATCATAGTCAGAGTGCTTAATTGTTTTTTTGTTTTTTGTTTTTTTTTTTGAGACAGGGTTTCTCTGTGTAGCTTTGCGCCTTTCCTGGGACCCACTTGGTAGCCCAGGCTGGCCTTGAACTCACAGAGATCCGCCTGGCTCTGCCTCCCGAGTGCTGGGATTAAAGGCGTGCGCCACCACCGCCCGGCTCTTAATTGTTATGATTTAAGATTTATTTCATGTGCATTCATGTTTTCCTGTATGTATGTTTGTATACCTTGTGTGTGCTTGGTGCCTCTAGAGACCAGAAAAGGGTGGACTGCTGAAAATGGATTTACACACAATTCTAAACTGCCATGTAGGTGCTAAGAATTGAACTCAGGTTTCCTGGAAGAGCAACAAGTGCTTTTAACTTGAGAGCCATCTTGCTAGCTTTTGATTATAAACTTAGTAGGACTCATTGATTATGAATATTATTAAACTGAAATTTATCCTTAATTATTTTGTACCTTATATATAATTCTTTTAAACTTTATTTTGTTATTTCTTGTATAGATCATAAAGTTTTATGTTCTTCTAACCTTTTTAAATATAGTAATTAGTTTTTTCTTATGTATCTTTCAAATGAAAACCAGGTGTTCATAATTCTTCCTCCTGTTCCTTTTTTTCCTCCCTCTACCTAGAAATGGCAGGATATTATTAAGGAAGTCAAGTTTCTACAAAGAATAAAACATCCCAACAGTATAGAATATAAAGGCTGCTATTTACGGGAACACACCGCTTGGGTTGGTATTTGTTCTCTTCTTGTTATAAATTAATTGCTTTTGGTTTAGCATAACTTAACTCAAAATATCTCAGACTGGTTATATGAAGAAATGCTCATATACCTGAAATGTTAGTTCATCCTGGGAGAGGAAGAACATATTCTTGCAACTCTTAACAGATAAAAGAACTTTACATGACTTCTCCAGAGTTCTTTCATAACTTCAGGAATACCAACTCAGCATTTCAAGAGCAGTACCATTATTTGAGAGTGAAACTGAACATATCTTTTTGACATGTGTGTTAGTATATTTAAGTACAAAGATCCTTGTGAAGTTTTGGTACATTCTGGTGAAATTTGAGATGACATGATTCCTTAGCCCAGTAACACTTAACATAGAGAATTGTGACATTGTGTTAAAAGAATTGGATTAATATAATTATAAATGCCTTTATATAGGAAAGTATGCAATGCATAGCTTATATAATTGGTTGCATATTAACATTATTAGAAGACAAGTATTAACATTGGCTTAAATTTTTTTTGATTTTTTTTTTTTTTTTTTTCTGAGACAGGGTTTCTCTGTGTAGCTTTGCGCCTTTTCCTGGAACTCACTTGGTAGCCCAGGCTGGCCTCGAACTCACAGAGATCTGCCTGGCTCTGCCTCCCAAGTGCTGGGATTAAAGGCGTGCGCCACCACCGCCCGGCTTTTTTTTTTGATCGTTTTAAGACACAGTCTTACTATGTAGCCTAGGCTGCCCTGGAACTAACTGTGTAGTTCATGCTGGCCTCATATTTTCTGCCTTAGCAACCCAAGTGCTGGGATTACTAGCATGTGTCACCATGCCTGAACCATTAGCTTAGTTTAACAAATTGTTAAATATATAATTATATTGTAAATGTAGATGATAGCTTGAGTTTGTTTTACTTTAGACTATCTTCTTGACTTCATATTTATCTCAAATAAACTGTCTTTATAATAAATTTTAATGCCTTTATATTTTTTCTCCCCATGCAGCTTGTAATGGAATATTGTTTGGGGTCTGCCTCAGATTTACTAGAAGGTAAGTTAACTTTGATTATTGATTTTTGGTTGTTTAATTTTGGCACATACCTTTAATCCTGAGGTAGAAGCAGGTACATCTCTGATTTTGAGGCCAGCCTGGTCTACAGAGTGAATTCCAGAACAGCCTGGGCTATACAGAGAAACCCTGTCTTGAAAAACCATAAATAAATGGATGAATATATATATTGAGGCAGGGTCTCTCTATGTAGTCCTTGGAGGTCCTGGAACTCACTGTGTAGACCAGGCTGGCTTTGAACTCACAGAGATCCACCTGCTTCTGTATCCTGACTGATTTAATTAAAAGCATGTGCCACCATTCCTGACCTTGATTATTGTTTATTACAATATTAGAATAAAATAAAAGTTTAGGCTGGGAGGTGGTTGCTGGTTGCCGTAATCCTTTAATCCCAGAACTCGGGAGGCAGAGGCAGGTGTACCTGAGTTTGAGGCCAGCTTGGTCTACAAATGAGTTTCAGAACACGCAGAACTACACAGAGAAACCCCATCTCAAAAAACCAAACCAAACCAAACCAATTCAGTTAGAGTTTATTTAAACAATATTAATACTAAATAAAAATAAAATTTTGCAGAAATTAGAAAATTCCTTGCCTTTGACATTTTCTTCACATGAAATTTGCTATTCTTACAAAGTAGGCAAATTTTCTCATTGAAACTTTATTTGCATTGAAAAAAAATTTTCTGTCAGTTTGATCTGTCCTGTTAATACAAAGTAAAAAAAGGGCAAGTATCTTTTTTGTTTCACAGTCATCAAGTTTTTGTTTGGTCTTGTTAAGCTTAGAGGAACAGTTGACTGACTGTTGTTAACACTTGTAAGTGTATACTAGTTAGGAAATTCATTGGCTTTATTTTCTCCCCATGGAAATTGTCTCTTGCTAAATACCTGTTTTTTAAAAATTACCCTGAGGAGATAACTCAGCAAGTAAAGCTGTTGCTACACAAGTATTAAGACAGGAGTTCAAATCCTCAGAACACAAGTAAAGTAAGACATGGTTGTGTGCTGCATTAATTTCTGTGCTCCACAAAGAGCTGGAGGTAGAGACAGGAGAATCCTTGGAGGCTTGTGACCTAGATAGCCTGGCATGTTCAGAACAGCAAATACCAAAGAGACTGCCTCAAATAAGGTAGGAGGTGAGGATCAGTGTTTTCCTTTGACCTCCACACATAGACTATGGTGCGCACAACATGCTATACACACAGTTACTAAAAATACCAATGTGTCAACTGGGCAGTGGTGGTGCACCCCTTTAATCCCAACACTTGCAAAGGCAGGGGGATCTCTGAATTTGAAGTTAGTCTGGTCTACAGAGCGAGTTCTGGGATAGCCAGGGCTGTGCAGAGAAACCCTGTGTGTGTGTGTGTGTGGAGGGGAACAAAACAAAAAAACTTCAATGTGTCTTTTTTTTGTTTTGTTTTGTTTTTGTTTTTTGGTTTTTTGAGACAGGGTTTCTCTGTGTAGTTTTGCACCTTTCCTGAATCTCACTCTGTAGACCAGGCTGGCCTCGAACTCAGAGAGATCCACCTGCCTCTGCCTCCCAAGTGCTGGGATTAAAGGCGTGCGCCACCACTGCCCAGCTCAATGTGTCAATTTTTAGTATTTATTTAAAAATAATTTTTTTAAAAATTTTCTTTGTTTTATATTGTGTATCTGTTTGCATTTTTGTTCATGTTCACCACCGTGCATGTGTGGAAGCCAGAGGATGACTTGAAGGAGTTAGTTCTCTCCTTCCACTATATATGTTTAGCACATTGAACTCAGATTCTCAGGCTTCCACATTTACCCACTGTCCTGTCTCGTTATCCCTATATATTTTTTAAACAAGAATATTCTATGTGATTACTTTCAAATAAATTTCTTTTCTCAGTTCATAAAAAGCCATTACAAGAAGTGGAAATAGCAGCAATTACACATGGTGCTCTCCAGGGATTAGCTTATTTACATTCTCATACCATGATCCATAGGTAAGTGACTCAAAAATTATCATATATTGACGAGCAAATGGTTTGTTGAATTTATCATCCCTACAGTTCAATGTCTCTGAAATTTTTGTTTACTTGAGCCAAAAAGAATTATATAAACTCAACACCATTTAGACTGTTCATGTCTATTTAGACTGTTCATGTCTAAATAGGTAGTATACATGTCTTTTAGGATAATTTTTATTTTTTGCCTATGTGTGCTCCTATGTTTCCTAAAGCATATGTATTTTATGGAACTTAATTGTAGAATTACTTAATTTGCAAACTGGAAGGGGCGTTAGGGATCATAGAGTCTGTCTTTCTGTGTAAATCGATGCTCTAATTTGTGACTATAATTTCCCTAAGATTGCAAAGCCAAATAGATTAGAGCTTAAATTTAATGGCTCTTTTGTCTTCCTGATAACTGATAATGACAGATTTGTTCCACTGATTCTGACATGGACCAAAACCATTTTGATGTAATTTTTTTTTTTTTTTTTTTTGGTTTTTCGAGACAGGGTTTCTCTGTGTAGCTTTGCGCCTTTCCTAGAACTCACTTGGTAGCCCAGGCTGGCCTCGAACTCACAGAGATCCGCCTGGCTCTGGCTCCCGAGTGCTGGGATTAAAGGCGTGCGCCACCACCGCCCGGCTGATGTAATTTTTAACACTGCTATTAGTTTTGACTTTCAGATAGATATTAGCATTTAAAAAATTATGTGATCCAGACAGTAAATATTAAACTATGCAGTACAGTCATTTTGAGTTAATGGATTGTCATTATTTTTAGATGAGGGTAAGTGAAGTCCAAGAGAAATCTCTATGGTAGCAAGTGAGTGAGTGGCAGAATTGGAATATGTTTTCTCATCTCCACAGTGCCTCACTATGCATAAGATCTAGGATTTAATTCCTAGCACCACACACACAAAAGCACTTAGAAAGAAAAAAACTTAGAAAAAGTGTATTATACTAGGTACTAACTACATTTACTATAGCAAGAATTAGTAAGTCATGTAAACTTGTTTTTTCTCTTTTAAGTTTTAAAAAATTAAGTATGTATTGTAGCATCTATGGAACGTGTATTCCTGTTGTGTAAATATCCATATAGTTTAGTTTGGATAGTGTGTTGGAGGCCATTGATAGTGTATTATCCACGTGCTTCAGTTTTCATTTCATGTTTAATCCGGAACTTTGTGGAAGCTTGAGAATGGGGTCATTCTTTGTTATTAACAAGTTTGGAAGATAAGGTTCTGTACTCTTAAAATGTTAATGGTGGCTCATGCCTTTAATCCCAGCTTGTTGGAGGCAGAGGCAGGTGGATCTCTGTGAGTTCAAGGCCAGCCTGATCTCCAGAGTGAGTTTCAGGACAGCTAGGGCTGTACAGAGAGACCTTTTCTCAAAAAACCAGGAAAAAAAGAAAAGAAAACAAAAATGTTAAAAGGGATACTTGGAAATCTTATGAAATCATGAAATGATTATTATATTTTCAAAGCCATTGTTCATACTAATAAACAAGCTCAAACACACATAGTGTGATACAGTTGCCTGACTGTTTTTGTTTTACAGTATTCTCTTAATTGTTACTGTATTTTTACTTGAATTCTGTTTCTGTTGTCTGATTTTATTATCACTCTGTGAAATTATTGCCGTACTTGATTGTTTATATTTCCTTTCTACTGTCTGACAACATTTTGGTTTTTATTATTTTTAAACACAATCTAATGAAGGGAAGTTAACTAATTTTCTGTGTCCCTTAAACCAGAGATATCAAAGCAGGAAATATCCTTCTGACAGAGCCAGGCCAGGTGAAACTTGCCGACTTTGGATCTGCTTCCATGGCCTCCCCTGCCAATTCTTTTGTGGGAACACCATATTGGTAAGAATGGTTTTATCTGGTATTGATGCTCATAATTAAAGTAAGCAGTATATTATTATACTTTCTTTCTTTCTTTTTTTTTAAAGATTTATTTATTATGTATACAGTGTTCTGCCTGCATGTATGCCTGCAGGCCAGAAGAGGGAACCAAATTTCATTGTAGATAGTTGTGAGCCACCATGTGGTTGCTGGGAATTGAACTCAGGACCTCTGGAAGAGCAGCCAGTGAGTGCTTTTAACCTCTGAGCTATCTCTCCAGCCCCCAGATGTTATACTTTCTAAGATGTCATTTTCCTGAAAATATACTATCATTTTTGATATTTTTTACTTTATGTTTCATACTTAAAATATAGATTTGCAGGTTTGTCCTTGCAATGCTTTTTTTATCTTTTCCCTTTTCATCTGTCTTTTTAATCCTTGCCACTTTGTTTTCCTGTTATTCACTGTATTGTGTATTAGGTATGGGAGTAAAATGTTGTTAACATTCAAATAGAGGAAATAGACATACTAAGTAAACAGTAACAAGTTTTCTTAAAATTTACTTTTTAAAATAAATTTGTGAAGTTCGTGTCTTTGTGTGTGTATGCCACATGTATGGGGTACCCATGAACCAGAATCAGAGCCCTTAGGGCTGAAGTTACAGGTGACTCTACAGATGAGCCTCCTGATGTGGATGCTGGGAACCAAACTGAGGCCCTCCAGAAAAGCAGCGATGCTTATAACTGCTGAGCCATGTCTGCTGCAGGAGCACCACTTCTTTTTTGAGACTGTGTCTCCTGTTGCTCTGACTGCCTTCAAACTCCCTATATTTAGTTGAGGGTGATGTACATCCCTGATCCTCCTGCTTCTGTTTTATGTGAGCAAATTTACTTTATATTTCTGCTTAGACTGGTAGCTCGATTGGAGGGATTTTGCTGTTTGGAATTTTCTGCTTGAGAATTTCAGATGTACATAAATATAGAAGTATGGATGAGATTTTTCATCCCAGTTACCCAGCCCTATAACCTTATCACATAGTTAATTTTGCCCTCCCTATTTTCTACCCCAGGTATTTTTTAATGAAATTCTAGGTAATATCTGCTCTGGTGTATGAATAATTTTATATGTATCTGTCAGTGAAAATTTGAAGGAAATAATTTTTCAGCTATTTAAACTTCCATGTATTACCTTTGTAGATTCTAAAAATAGTACCTTTGGTTCACTCCATCTTTTTTTTTTTTTTTTAATCTATGTTTGAAATCTCCCTTCTTATTTTATAAAAGACTTGTTTCAACAGTATATTGCTCTGGGATGTAAAATCTCAAAAGCATACTTTAGAGACATTTGTGACTATCCAGTTTCTAAAAGAAACATTAAAGGGTCAGGATATAATTTTATGGCTAGGCCTTGTGCCTTCCTTTTCATCTCAGGTAAAACAACTGACAGTGTTTGTTGCCCATGGTAAACTTCAATATTTCAAGCAAGTATTAGAATTTTATAATGAGATTCTGAGATAACCCTGCTTTGGTATTTTCCTTTTGTAATGTTGTTAAATGATCATGGCAGATGGTGGGAATAAGTATCATGTTTTCTGAGCATTGCTAACTACGTATGTCACAATTTTTTATTTTCCTTTCGTCACAACTTCTAATTTACTTCCCATTGTAAAAAATTTTATGTTTACATATATTGGCTGGAGTTCAATGTTATTTATGTTGATGGAACTTATGTTCTCAAACTTTTAAGTTGATTGAATATTGTATGTTTTAGGATGGCCCCAGAAGTAATTTTAGCCATGGATGAAGGACAGTATGATGGCAAAGTTGATGTATGGTCTCTTGGAATAACATGTATTGAATTAGGTAAGCATCATTTTTTATTACTAAGGATTAAGTTTTTTGCTTTTGTTTGTTTTGAAATAGGATCTCACTCTTAACCTTGGCTGGCTTCTAACTTGCTATATAGATCAGACTGGCCTCAAACTCAAAAGAGATCCAACTGCCTCTGCCTCCTGAGTGCTAAGGTGTAAGCCACCACACCTAGCTGAATTAAATTTTGATCCAATATTTTATTTCAATCACCATATTAAATTGGATTTTGGTCTTAGATCTCAATTATTTGAAAAATTAATTGGTTATATGTGTATGAGTACTTTTGTCTGCATGTATGTCTGAGTTCCATGCACGTGCAGGGAGAGTGTAATGAAGGTGCCAGTAACAACTCTGGCCTCTGTCCTGATACTGGCATACTAATGCTGGCTATGGATTTCCCAGCACTACAGCAATTAGGCTGGATGCACTTTTTCCCCTAAAGGAACAAAATCCTCCATATTTGTGTTTATTCAGAATTCCACATGTTGGAAACTGAGAAAAAAAAATATACAATATAAGAATTACAAAAGACGGGCTGGAGAGATGGCTCAGAGGTTAAGAGCACTGACTGCTCTTCCAGAGGTCCTGAGTTCAATCCCCAGCAACCACATGGTGGCCCACAACCATCTGTAACGAGATCTGGTGCCCTCTTCTGGCCTGCAGGCACACATGCTGTATACATAATAAATAAATCTTAAAAAAAAAAAAAAAAAACAAAAACAAAAAAAAAAAAAAATAAAAAAAATAAAAAAAAAAGAATTACAAAAGACAATCCAAATGTCTGTTATCAAACATTAAACTAAAAGAGACTTTCTAAGTTTTACTTCAAAGGCAAAGGAAAAGATGCTCTCTGCTAAGCTGATGTGTTTATGTGAATTACAAGACTTTGGTCTAAAACCATTCTGTTGAGTGATTTAACTATAGTTTCCGATGGTTCCAAACCTCTGTGTGGGTGCTGGGAATTGAACTCAGGTCTTCCGGAAGAGCAGCTAGTTCTCTTAGCCATTGAGCCATCTCTTCAGTCTCAGATTTAAGGGGAGAAATAAATCATTTAAAGCTTTTGCTTTGATTATCTGATAATTTAGTTAACCTAGCATATATTAGATTAAATATATTTGCTATTAAATTAGTTCCAAAATAATTTTTCACTATGGTCTTAAATATCTGTGTCTGACATTAATGTTTGTTTAACACTTAGAATGTACCTAATATTACCATATTTACTATCCATAGAAGGTTTCTTAATTATCCATGAATTATTCACTATATATTAGTTAACTTTTTTTTGTTTGCCTGTTTGTTTTTTGAGACAAGGTTTCTCTGTGTAACAGCACTGGCTGTCTTGGAACTCTCTTTATAGACTAGGCTGCCCTTGAACTCACAGAGATCTGCCTGCCTTTGTATCCTGAATGATGGGATTAAAGACGTACACCATTACCACTCTGCAAGTTAGTTGCTTTTAAGTTTAGAAATTAGATGTCCAAGCTGTTCTTGGTTGGGTAGGCCTTGACTCCTGTTAGGATAGAGGCTAAGGCAGGAGGATTACAGATTCAAAGTCTGCCTGACAAGAGAGTGGACTCAGAGTAACCTGGGAAATTTAGTAAGACCTGCAAGACAGCAAACCAGACTTTATTCAAGTGGAACCATAGTGATGTAGGTATTCAGTGTGGGTTGGAGTTGGGAAAATATGCACACACAATAATAAGCAATAAGACCTCTGAAATTAAAAAAAAAAATGGCCAGGCATATACCATCATGCCTTTATTAATTAATCCCAAGCATTGGGGAGTAGAGGCAGGCAGAATCTGTGAGTTTGAGACCAGCTTGGTCTACATAGTGAGAGTTAACTTCCAGGCCAACCAGGGCTATATAGCGAGCACCTGTCTTTTAAAAAATAATAATCAGATAAATAATTATTTTGTTTAAATGAAATTTAAATAGTAGCTTACAAGAATGTGAGAGGTAGAAGGATAGTTTCGTTGGTAGAGTGTAGTATTCATGAAGCCTTGTGTTTGATACCAGTAACCCAGAAACCAAGCATGGTAGCATATGCTTATAATCCCATCACTCAGGGGAATCAGGAGTTTAAGGTCATACTCAACTACATGATGATTTAGAGCCCAGCCTGGGCTACATGAGATTCTTTCTCAAAAAAAAAAAGAAAAAAAAAAAAGGTGAGATAAAGTCCTGATGGCACATATGGTAATACCAGCATTTGGGTGGAAGGCTTAGGAGGATCTTTATTTGGCCTACATAGTGATGTCCAAATCAGTCTGGGCTACATAGGGATACACTGAATTAAAAAAAGGAATTTGCTTTTTTAAAATCTTGGACCTCACTATGTAGACCAGGTTGGACTAGAACTCAAAGAGATCCTCCTGCCTCTGCCTCTGGAGTGCTGGGATTAAAGGTGTGCATCACCACTACCTGTTCCCTATAGTAGTTTTAAAGCTACTATGTGAGATAGAATATAGATACTCGCTAGCCAGTGAACAAACCATGCTGACCTAGGGTGGATGTCAGGCTCGAATGTAGAAGTGAGCTCCTGTAGCATAGTGTGAAATCAGAAATGGATAAAGAGTATGTATACAAGAGGAAGGTCCAGTGTGGAGATTAAAAGGTCTGGTAGAGTTACTAAAGCATTCATTCCTAGAGATAGAGTTAGCAGGGATCAAGGAGAGTAGGGAAGTATAGAGTTAGTGTCCATAGAGGCAATCTATATTTTGGGTTAACCAAGCATAGTGATAGAACCTAATAAAAATGATGGATTTCCCCTAATGAGGCATTCCTCACTGCAGAGAAGAGACCTGGTTTGCCTGAGGTGGTCAGAAACGGAAAAGAAGTTATTTTCACTATGTTTGGAATGGGGCATTGGCAGAGAGTGGTAGCAGAAATGCTGCCCTGGCTATACACAAAAGCAGATTATCAAATAAACATTAAAGGCTTGGTATGATGATTCATGCCTATAATCACAGCACTTGGGAGACTGAGATAAGAGGATTGCCATGAATTCTAGGTAAGCCTGCCCTGCAGAATGAGACTAAGATGGAGGGAAAGGAAAGAGAGGAGGTAATAGGAATAAGACTTGCCATTGTTAAAGTACAATGTAACAAATACTGTGGTTTGGGGTTGGAATTTGAGATGAAATGCTGAATTATTTTTTCTTTTGTTTGGTTTTTTGTTTGTTTGATTTTGCTTTTTTGAAACAGGGCCTCATGTAGTCCAGGTTGCCTGACTCTGTCTCCCGAGTGCTGGGATTAAAGGCACGCACCACCACACCTGGCTATTTTTAATAATAATGTAAAAAGGAATGTGTTGTGTATGTCTGTTAAGTTTATGCATGTGTCTTTTAATTCTGTCTATTGAGAAGATGTAAAAAATGGACCAGAGAGATGACTTAGCTGTTAAGAGACACCCAGCATTGACATCAGGTGTGTCACAACTACCTGTAACTCCAGCACCAGGGGATCTGACACCCTCTTCTGGTGTCATTGGCTGTCTACACTTGCGTATATGCAGGGGGATCAAAGTACAGCTGGGGGGGAGTCTTTTATCTCCTTCCATCATGTGGGTTTTGGGGATTGAACTCAGGTTATCAGGCACGGTAGCAAGTGCTTTCATCCACTGAGCCATGTAGTAGAATATTATTTTAAGGAGTGTTACTTTTGTTTATGTTGCATTTGTTTAACTCTGTGAAACTATATTACTGTGCCTGTGTAAAACACCTGATGGTCTAATAAAGAACTGGCCAGTAGCAAGGCAGGAGAAAGGATAGGTGGGGCTCACAGGCAGAGAGTATGTATAGAAGGAGAAAACTGAGAGGGAAAAAAAAGACTTAGGAGCCAGGGAAGGAGGAGGCCTCCAGGGGCCAGCCACCCAGCTACACAGCAAGCCACGGAGTAAGAGTAAGATTTACAGAACTAAGAGAACAGGAAAAGCCCAGAGGCAAAAGGTAGACAGGATAAGTTAAGGAAAGCTGGCAAGAAAGAAGCCAAACTAAGGCCGGGCATTTATAATTAAGAATAAGCCTCTGTGTGTGATTTATTTGGGAGCTGGATGGCGGGCCCCCCAGAAGAGAAGAGTAAAAAAACAAAAAAACAAAAAAACAACAACAGAGCCATCTCCCCCAATTTCACAGTTTAGAAAGCAGAAAAAAGGGAAGTAATCTGAACTCAGGATAAACAAGAGAGAATAATAAAGATCAAAATAAAACTTAGTTAAACAGAAAATTGAAAACTAGAAAGCATTGAAACTAAAATCTAATTCTTTATGAAGATCATTAAAATTGATAAACCTTATTTCGTTTTGCTTAGAAAAAGAAGATACAAATATCTGATATTGGGAATGGGAGAAACCAGGTATGATAGATCACATTTATAATCCTAAAGCTTAGGAAGCTGAAGGTAGGTGAATCACCATTGTTTGGAGCCAAGCTGGCCACATGGTGAGTTCCAGGATAGCCTGGGCTATTACGTGAGACCTTGTCTAAAAAGTAAAATCAAAGGTAGGGGCTGTGAATGAGAAGTAAAGATTAGTATTGATTATTAAAAAGTTATATAGGGGACTAGACAGATGCCTTAGCAGTTAAGAGCTCATACTACTCTAGGGGATCTGATGCTCTCTTCTGATTTATATGGATATCTCCACTTGTATGCATACCCCTATACAGACACAAACAGGTAATTTAAAAGTAGCAATAAAAATAAAAGAAAATAGAGGGCATGGGGAGATGGCTTTGTGGATAAGAGCACTTGCTTTGTAAACATGGCCTGAGTGCAAATCCTTAGCCCTCATGTCAATATCATGTGAATATCTGGGGGTGACTATAATCCCAGCACTAAGTGTGAGTGACAGGCAAGTACCTAGAACTTGCTAGCCAGCCAAACTAACCAGACAAACAAATGCTCTTCTCCAGAGGGAGTAAGAGTTATGTTCTAAAACATGTTCTATAGAAAACAATCCAAAGTACAAATAAGATAATACTTAAAGGGAAGGAGTGTGGCCAGCTTGGCTCCAAACAATGGTGATTCACCTACCTTCAGCTTCCTAAGTTCAGAAAAGACCTGTGTTGCCAGGTGGTAGTGGTGTAAACCTTTAATCCCAGTGAGGCAGGTGGATCTCTTGAGTTTGAGGCCAGCCTGGTCTACAGAGCTAGTTCCAGGACATCCAAGACTACACAACAAACCTTTCTTGAAAAACCAAAGGGGGAAAAGAAAAGACCCCTGTGTTAGGGCAATTAGAGGAAGGCACGGATCCATATGTAAAGGCATGCATAACCATGTGCACCCCCCTCCCCAAATAATATGGAAATATGAACAGTTTTCTGTCTGAATTTGAGGACTCAGTACAGTGGCCTGATTCTTTGACAGGCGCAAGTGATTAAAACTACCTATAGTATGATTGAGCCTTTGGAACCAAACTTCAATGGGGTTTGGTACCAGGTGACTTTAACATCATTAGGTGGCACAATTTAATGCATATCCTATGGCTTTTATGAAAATGTTCTTGTATATTGACATGTTTAGGGATGGTGGGCCATCAGAACAAGTAGTTTATCTCAATTGAGTTACATTAAAAAGTTCTTTGTTGCCAGGCAGTGGTGGCACATGCCTTTAATCCCAGCACTCAGGAGGCAGAGTCAGAAGGATCTCTGTGAGTTCTAGGACAGCCAGAACTGTTTGACAGAGAAACCCTGTCTCAAAAAAACCAAAAAAAAAAAAAAAAAAAAAAAAATTCTTTGTAGGGGCTGAAAAAAATGGCACAGCTGTTAAGGGAACTAACTGGCTGCTCTTCCAGAGGTCCTGAGTTCAACCACACCGATGGCTCACAACCATCTGTAATGGGATCTGATTCTCATGATGTTCGTGAAAACAGGTCACTCTCATACATAAAATAAATATATAAATATTTTTAAAGGGTTCTTTGTAGCCAAGTATCATAGTACACACCTATAATCCCAACACTCGGGGAGCACAGTGAGGCGCTTCCCTGTGAGTTCAAGACCAACTTGGTCTACAAAGCGAGTTCCAGGACAGCTGGGGTTACGCAGAAACCCTGTCTCAAAAAACCAAAACAAAAAGGTTTTTCTACAACAATTTTTTATTAAGCTTAAAGTTGTTTTGAAAATATCTTCTTTAAAAACTTGATTAACATTTTAGTATTTTTATATATTCACATTTTAACAGAAAGGTTTCCTCTCTTTTATAGCGGAGAGGAAGCCTCCTTTATTTAATATGAATGCAATGAGTGCCTTATATCACATAGCCCAAAATGAATCCCCTACACTACAGTCTAATGAATGGTGAGTATTCCCACAAGATATTGATTAACATTTTGAAAATTTTGTAAATATTGATAAAATATAAATCATTATCAAGATGACTTAATTTTACGTAAATAAATGTACTACCTGAAAAGAAAGTAGGTTTACTTTTCCATTAAATTTTAGGAGCACAGATAACCGTAATACTTTAATAGTATTTTTAAGCATTAATTTTTATAACTAAAATGCACAGATTGTTATAACCTGTTGTGATAATTGTATGAAGAATAGATTATCATTTATATTGTATAAGACATAGGTAAAATGGTTTGATTCTTTCAAAATTGTTAGGTTATTTAAAACCTTGGAAATGCTCTAATTATGTTATTCTCATTGCTCTGGTTTTTCTTCTGGTGTGTAGTCTTTAATTGGATAAAACTTCATGTAAAGTAGTATGTGGAGAAGAGATTATTAACAAGCTTAGACTAGAATTGTTATGAGTTGAAAAAAATTGTATATTAGTTACTTTTCTCATTTCTGTAACAATTTACCTGACAAGGCAACTTAGAGAAGGAAGAGTTTATTTGGGATCACAGTTAGAGGATATAGTCCATTGTGACGGGAAGGCATTGATGGTAGGAGCTTGATACATTGTGTCCTCAGTGAGGAATTAGAAAGAGATGGATGGTGGAGCTCCACTTACTTTGACACATTTATTCAGTCTGGAGCTCCATTCCATGGCATGGTGCCACCTGCATTCAGAGTGAGTCTTCTGCAGTTGAACCTTTCTGGAAGCACCCTCATAGAACACCCTCAGAGGTGTGTTCCCGTGGTGATTCTAAATTCTGTCCAGTTGATAGGATTAATGACTACTATTCCACCCCTTGTCAGCATTACACTTCTTTCCCCTAAACTTGCACGTTCATTTCATAATACAAAATACATTATTTCATCTCTGAAAGTTCCCATAGTCTCTAACAGTTCCAACATTATATAAAAGCCCAATGCCTGAGGTCTCTTCTGAGAGGTATGGTAAACTCTTACTTATGACCACTTGTGCAATGAAAAGCAAGTCTCATTTTCTATGATCTTAGCCTTTAGGAGGATGAGGCAGGAGGATTGCTCCAAGTTCAAAGCCAGCCTGGGCTGTAGTGTGAAACTCTATCTCAAAAAACAAACAACAAAACAACAGCAACAAAAAATGTGTTACTCTTTTAATATTAGAGATAAACATTGATGGAGTAATTATTTATTGAGTGATCACTCAGCTCCCATAACACATTACAGGCTTTTAATATTTTAAAAATATATCTTTATTGGTTTTCTAGATTTAATGGAAATCTTATCCTTTTGGTCAGGGGCAGCAACTGCTCAGGTGTTTTAAAAATGCTCTTCTTCCCTGGTCTGCAGAGTGACTACACAGAGAAGGCCTGTCTTGAAAAACAGAACAAATGCTCTTCTCCAGAGGGAGTAAGAGTTATGTTCTAAAACAGGTCCTATAGAAAACAATCCAAAGCACAAATAAGACAATACTGAAAGGGGAAGGAATGTGGGAAAGTGTGTTTGAATGGGGAAAACTTCTGGACAGCTTTCTTCCTTTTGACTCAATATCGAATGGTTTCTGATAGGTAAATATGTGGGAACAAGATTTTTTTTCTAGCCAAGTATATACTCTATCATGACACTATATCCCTAGCCTAAGATTTTTAAATGATCTGTGCAAATCTATTTTTGAAAAATGTTAAAAGAGTCATTGGTTGCTTTAGATATCTTTGAATAGATGAAATTATATTATTATTTCCATTCTTCCTCCTGTGAGTAGGCTTATGCCTTTTTGAATGTGTTTTTAAAGGAAATAGCAATATGTTCACTTGATACTTTCTTTACAATAGGTCTGATTATTTTCGCAACTTTGTAGATTCTTGCCTCCAGAAAATCCCTCAAGATCGCCCTACTTCAGAGGAACTTTTAAAGGTCAGTCTGTAAAACTTTGTTTTAACCCTTAAGAAATGATTTTAAAACGCTTTTTTTTTTTTTTTTTTTTTTTTTTTTTTTTTTTTTTTTACTCAGTCAGGATTAACTATATTAGTTTTTACTAAAATACTACATTTGGGGCCAGTGACATAGCTCAGTAAGGGCACTTGTTTCCAAAGCTAACAACCTGCATTGAATCCCTGAAATCCACATGGTGAGAGGAGAGAACTGATTTCAGCATACATGTTTGTGTTGTGTTACCCCCTTTATAAATAATAAACACATGTAATAAAGGCTTTGTAGTTCTAAAATAATAATTTAAAAGTTGTTGTTGTTGTTTTGGGTTGTTTTTTTCCAGTACTGGTACTCAATCAAATAGGACTACATGTACTGTTATCAGTTAGCTATTTCCCCAGCCTATTGAAATACTAATTGTTGTTTTTTTGAGATAGTGTCTCAACTCTGTAGCTATGAATGTTCTGGAGATTACTATATAAACCAGGTCTTGAATTCGCAGAGATTCCCCTGCCTCTGCCTCCTTAAGTGCTAGCATGAACCACCCACTCAGCTAAAAATACTAATATGTTTATATCATTATTTCTTGATTCTGAGTATTGGACTCGGGACTTTGAAAATAGTAGGTAGGCATTTTCCCAATTGAGCCACGCCCCTGGCCCTGGTGACTTACCTTAGATACTGTATTTTGTTTTAAAGATTTTTAAAGAGTGTATTGTAGGAGAGAGAGAGGGAAAGGGAGGGAGCGAGGGAGGGAGGGAGGGAGGGAGGGAGGGAGAGAGAGAGAGAGAGAGAGAGAGAGAGAGAGAGAGAGAGAGAGAGAGAGAGAGAAGACTTCTCTTCTGAGGCAGGATCTCAGCTAGGCTGGAAGATCGCAAGCCCTCCTGGTCCCCCTCCATTTGTAAACACTTCGCCTTGTTGTGAATGCTGGCATCTGAACTCTTGACTCATTTAGCAATGAAATAGTATAAAAAGTGTGTAGTTTTAGATTGCCAAGATGACCTAGTGGGTAAAGGCACTTGCCACCAAGACTGAAGACCTGGGTTCTATCTCTGGAACCCATATTATAGAAGGAGAGAATTGATTCTTCTGACCTCCACATAGATAGGAATACACATGCTCATGCAACTCCTTTCTCACAAAAAATTTCATTTACAATATTATATTTTAAAATATAGATTCTCTTCAGTTTAACTGGCCTTTCTCAAAAAAGTTTTGAGTGTTGATCATTTAATTAATACTGATAATAGTATAATAGTTTACTGATTTTAGTGGGTTTGCCCCTTTTTTTGCAGGAAGGTTGTTTTTTTATTTTATTTTTCTTAACATTTTATTATGTATATAATGTTCTGTCTGCATGTTTGCCTGTATACCAGAAGAGGGCATCAGATCTCATTATAGATGGTTGTTAGCCACCATGTGGTTGCTGGGAATTGAACCCAGGACCTCTGGAAGAACAGCCAGTGCTCTTAACCTCTAAGCCATCTTTCCAGCCCCTTGCCCCCCCCCCCTTTTTTTTGGACTCAGGGTCTCATTATGCCTTGACTGGCCTGGAACTCAATATATAGACCAGGCTAGCCTTGAACTCTTAAAGATCCTTCTGTCTACCTCCCTAGGGGTTAAAAGTATGAATCATCATATTTGTCTTAATGTGGTTCTTAAAGCATCTTTTTTGAGAGGGGATCTCATGTATCCTAGACTGGCCTTGTACTTTTGCTGTGTAATTGAGAATGATCTCAAAAGTACTGATCCTCCTGCCTTACATCCCAAGTACTATGTTCTCCATGGTTATGTATATGGTACTGGGATTTAATTCAAGACTTCGTGAATCTTAGGCAAATACTACCAACTGAACTACATCCACAGCTTTCTTAAAATATCTTGATTAGGATCTGAAGAGATGGCTCAGTGGTTAAGAGCATTGGCTGCCCTTCTAGAGGACCCAGTGTTGATTCCCGGCACCCACAACTGTTTGCACTTTCAGTCCTAGAGCATATGATGCTCTCTTCTGGCCTTTGAGGGTATTTCACATGCTGCACAAAACGCACTTAGACAAAATACTCATACAAATAAAATAAAAACAAAAAACATCACCAGGCAGTGATGGTGCATGCCTTTAATCCCAGCACTCAGTAGGCAGATGCAGATGGATCTCTGAGTTCGAGGGCAATCTGGTCTACAGAGTGAGTTCCAAGACACCCAGGGTTACACAGAGAAATCCTGTCTCAGAACCATAAATAAATAAATAAACGAATGAATCAATGAATCAATCATCTTGACTAGACAGTAATGAGAATTTGACTCTAGCTAGAAGTTGTTTCCACAAGATTTATATGAACTATTTTTATATTAACGTTTTAGAATTTCAAAACAGGTAAATTTTTTTCACTCACAAATGTCAGCTAAATTAAACTACAACAAATATACATACATACATTTGATAATATTGTTTGCAATCACATTATATAGTAAAACAGTAAAAAATTTTCCATACTGCTTTTGTAGTTCCAGGGAGTAAGCTCACCTATAGTCTCAGAAATGGAAGCCTGACCATTTGAACACTCATACTAGCAACATATTATAATAGTCTGGTCATGGCTGTTTATGCCTGTATTTCAGCACTAGGAGGATCACTAGTTCAAAGCAAAACTGTGACTGTCACAGTGAAATCTTGTCTCAAGAAAAAGAAATCCATAGTGTCTTAAGTTCTGATTACTTCATTCACTTCCGGTTACTTAAAGCAAGCATAGCTTATAATCAGTAGTGAATTTTCTTAGATTTTATACGCTTTGATAATTTCAACTTTTTTTTTCTCTTTTTCTTTTCCTGAGACAGGGTTTCTCTGTGTAGCTTTGGAGCCTGTCCTGGCACTCACTCTGTAGTCCAGGCTGGCCTCGAACTCACAGAGATCCTCCTGTCTCTGCCTCCCAAGTGCTGGGATTAAAGGCATATGCCACCACCACCCAGCTGTCAACTGTATTTTCATTGGCCAACTAAATATATCATGGTGAGGAATTATTCAAGAGTATTTAATATGTAAGCAGAAGTTGAATGTGGAAATTACTTCTTCCTAAGTATCAAAAGTCTTTGATGTAAAAGAATCAGATAGCTATAGATTGTATGAATTGTGTATCATAGTGTAATAATATTTGAATATATTTGAACTAATTAGGAAAAAAAGTAATCTATTTTTATTTTCTTCCCTTCCAGCACATGTTTGTTCTTCGAGAGCGCCCGGACACAGTGTTAATAGATCTTATTCAAAGGACAAAGGATGCAGTAAGAGAGCTGGACAATCTGCAGTATAGAAAGATGAAGAAACTCCTTTTCCAGGAGGCACATAATGGACCAGCGGTAGAAGCACAGGAAGAAGAGGAGGTATAATTCCCAAAAATAACACAAATTTTTAGTTTGATTTATTGATTTCTTATACTAATTGTCCAGCTAAACATACTTTTTTTTATGTCACTGGTTCCAATATACTGTGCTATTATCATTGATTCTCTGAAATCCTTTAATCTTATTATTATAGGGGTTTGGGATTTAGCTCAGTGGTAGAGCGCTTGTGCCCTGGGTTTGGTCCTTGCTCCAAAAAAAAAAAAAAAATCTTGTTATTATATACTTTCTATTCAACCGTTTAATGTTGTGTAGTAAAGGATACAAGAAGTCTTTTATTGAATATGAGAAGTCTTTTACTAAAGAAACCTCTTTGTGTTCATCAGGCTTCTCTTCTCCTTTAATCGATAATTGAAAAAAGACTTAGATATTTTAGTTTAATGCTCTTTTCCTTTAGGAGCAAGATCATGGTGTTGGCCGGACAGGAACAGTGAATAGTGTTGGAAGTAATCAGTCTATTCCCAGTATGTCTATCAGTGCCAGCAGTCAAAGCAGCAGTGTTAACAGTCTTCCAGACGCCTCGGATGACAAGAGTGAGCTAGACATGATGGAGGGAGACCATACAGTAATGTCTAACAGTTCTGTCATCCACTTAAAACCCGTGAGTATTTGCATTTCTATGGGGGGAAAGCCAAACCCTCAACTTTGACCCATCATTTTCTTAGACTGATTAATTCAAGAGATTTTCCTTGAAGTTTAAGAAGTTTGGAATCTGGGTGTGGTGGCACACACCTGAATCTCGCACTTTATAAGGATCAGGAATTCAAGGGCTACCTCAGCTACATAGTAAATTTGAGGCCAGCCTGGGCTGCATATGACCCTGTGTGCCACCACCACCACCCACCACCACTCCCCCTAGAAAAAGGAAAAAAGAAAACAACAGTTTGTGCTGGAGAGCTGGCTCAGTGGTTTAGATCATTTGTTGCTTTTCCAGAGGACCTGAGTTTGTTTCTCAACATCCACAACAAGCAACTGTATCATAGCTGTGTATAATTCCAGGTCCAAAGGATATAATACCCTCTTCCGGACTCCATGGACATCTGCATTCAAAATATACAGATATATATATGTGTGTGTGTGTGTGCGCGCGCGCGCGCGCGCGCGCGCGCGCGCGCGCATGCATGTGTACACAAAATCTCTGAGTGTCAGGGTTACATAGAGGACAACACCCCCATCCCATGCCCCAAAAAAAACAAACTTTAGATCATTTTTGTTTTCCATAGCAATGGTTTAAAGTATTAATCTGACACCTGAATATGGGAAATTACTGTTTTGAAAAACACATTGTTTTTTTTGTTTTTGTTTGTTTTTTTCTTGAGACCAGATTTCTCTGTGTAGCTTTGCGCCTTTCCTGGAACTCACTCTGTAGGCCAGGCTGGCCTTGAACTCACAGAGATCCGCCTGCCTCTGCCTCCCGAGTGCTGGGATTAAAAGCATGTGCCACCAACTGTCTGGCTGGGAAATTACTGTTTTGAAATACAAAAAGATGTGAAACTATTTTAGGAAAAATAAAAATATAGATACACTACATAATCTATTATTAGAATATTTGTAAAGAGCAAAAATATGTATTTGAAATTTATGAATAGTTGCTATTAGAAAATGAGAAAGTTGATTATAAATAATGAGTCAGGAGCAACTTTTGTAGTATCTCCCCCCAACCCCCCCTTTTTTTTATTCCCCTGAGACAGGGTTTATTTGTGTAACTGCCCTGTTGATAGATTTATAGCATTGAAAATGTAATTGGTGCCAATTATAAAATGGCTAAAGAGGAAAATTGTTAACTTTTTTAAAGACAAGGTCTTGGTATGTGGCTTTGGCTGACCTGGAACTCAAAAGAAATTTGCCTGGGGCAGAAGAGATGGCTCAGTGGTTAAGAGCACTGTCTGTTCTGCCAGAGGTCTTGAGTTCAATTTCCAGCACCAACATGGTGGCTCACAACCATTTATTTGTTTTTTTTTTTTTTTTTTTTTTTTTGGTTTTTCGAGACAGGGTTTCTCTGTGTAGCTTTGCGCCTTTCCTGGAACTCACTTGGTAGTCCAGGCTGGCCTCGAACTCACAGAGATCCGCCTGGCTCTGCCTCCCTGAGTGCTGGGATTAAAGGCGTGCGCCACCACCGCCCGGCTCACAACCATTTATAATGGGACCTGAAGGCCTTGTTCTATCTGATGCCCTCTTTTGTCATGCAGGCATACATGCAAATAAAGCATTCATATGCATAAATAAATGAATCTTTAAAAAAGAAAAAAAGAAAGGATCTGCCTCCCAAATGCTGGGATTAAAAGTGTATGCCCAACCTTAATATATTTTAACATATACATAGCACTTATTATGGTAACATCATTATTATTATAAAAATTCCACATAATTTTCATTTTCTTTTGAGACCTGGTCGTAGTCTAGCCAAGGTTGGGTTTACATTCATGGCAGTGTTGTCTCAGCCACAGGCAGCAGCCCCCACACCCAGTAACAGCAAGAGTGGTTTTCTTTAATTTTTTTGTTTTTTGTTTTTTTGGGGGTTTTTTTTGTGTTTGTTTTTGTTTTTTTGTTTTGGTTTTTTGAGACAGGCTTTCTCTGTGTAGCTTTGGAGCCTGTCCTGGAACTCGCTCTGTAGCCCAGGCTGGCCTCAAACTCACAGAGATCTGCCTGCCTCTGGCCGAGTGCTGGGATTAAAGGCGTGCGCCACCACCCTCCAGCGGTTTTCTTTAATTTTTACATCCTTTCTAGTGTTCTCTGTCTATCTACCTATTTATTTTTGGTTTGTCAAGACAGACTTTCTTTGTGTAGCCTTGGCTGTCCTAGAACTAGCTCTGTAGACCAGGCTGGTCTTGAACTCATAGAGATCCTCCTACCTCTGCCTCCCTAGTGCTGAGATTAAAGGTGTGTGCCACCACCGCCCAGCCCTCTATTATTTAGAAATATTATTATAATCTTAAGTTTATCATAGTTTCACCTACCTATAACCAAACAAAACACAACAAAATAGTGTCGTACTGCATCGCTTATAAAACTCAAGATTAATTTTTTAGTTACCATTATTTGAAACATTCATTACATGTTGTATTGTTTTGTTTTTTTAATTTACATTAAAGCTTTTCGGTTTTATTTTAAAATATTTGTGTATGTGGGGGTTACATGCAAATGAGTACGGTTGCCCCCGGAAGGCAGAGGTGTCAGGTCCGCTGAAGCTGGAGTCAGAGGTGCTTGTAAACCACCTGATGTGTGTGCTGGGATGAAGCTTGGGTCCTGTGCAGGAAGTGCATGCTATTTACCACTGAGCAATCTCTCCAGCTCAAGCTTTTTGGTTTGCATATAATATATGGAATATAAAACTGTATATTTCATATGTTGAATCTGTATTTTTTCACGCACTCTGGAAATAATTTCAGCTAACTCTACTTGTGTTGAAAATAACAATAATATTTCAAGTTCCTATTTCTGCTTTGTAAAATTGTGTTTCTTTAAGATTATTGATTAAAATTGCCTTTATTCTTTTCCTTGAAACCTCAAAAAATGGTTCACCTTACAAAATAGTTTCTGTCTCTCTCTCTTTCTCTTTTAAGGAGGAGGAAAATTACAGAGAAGAAGGAGATCCTAGAACAAGAGCATCAGATCCACAGTCTCCACCTCAAGTGTCTCGTCACAAATCACATTATCGTAATAGAGAACACTTTGCAACTATAAGAACAGCATCACTGGTATGTATTCCCCTGCCAAAAAGCACTCTCTTTGTTATGTTGTTAGTATGAACTCAAATATATTTAACTCTCTTGTTTCTGTGTTTGGGATTTATTTTGCAAAACATTCAACATTTAGTTTTCCTGTTAGAAGAAAGCACTCTAATATTAAACTAGTAATGTCTTTGAGATATATATTCACATAGTAATTTTTGTTGGTTTGTTAGTTTGAAACAGCATCTTACTTTGTAGGCCAGGCTGAGCTCACATAACTCACTGATGTCCACCTGCCTCTGCTTGCTGAAGACTGGAACTAAAGGAGTATGCCACCATGCTTGGCTTCAATTTCATTTTTTAAAATTTATTTATTTATTTATTTATTTATTATGTATGCGGTGTGCTGTCTGCGTGTATGCCTGCACGCCAGAAGAGGGCACCAGATCCCATTATAGATGGTTGTGAGCCACATACGGCTCACTGAACTGAACTCAGGACCTCTGGAAGAGCAGCCAGTGCTCTTAGCCTCTGAGCCATCTCTCCAGTGCCTCAAATTAGTTTTGATTAGTGATACAAAAGAAGTTTTTGTGCCTGGTCTTCAGAGCGAGATCCAAGATAGGCACCAAAGCTACACAGAGAAACCCTGTCTCAAGAAAAAAAAGTTTTGTGACAGAGTTTGAGCATTTAAAGTTGTTAGGTTTTAGGAACAGGAGAAGAGAATCAGTGTATTGCCACATAAAATTAACATTTCAAGTGTGTTAACACAAACTTAATCTCAACACCCACGAGGCAGAGGCAGGTGTATCTCTGAGTTCAAGGCAAGCCTGGTCTACATAAAGAATTGCAAGCCAGCCAAAGTTACATAATGAGATCCTGTCTCAAAAAGAGAGATGAAAGAAATGCCTGGCGATGTGGCACACACCATTAATCCCAGCACTGGGAAGGCACAGGCAGGTAGATATCTTGGATTCTAGGATGGCCAAGGCTACACATGGAGAAACCCTGTCTCGAATCGCCCCCCAAAAAAAGATCAAGAAAGATAAGAATTAACAATAAGAGAAAGCTATATGGTTAGGGTAGCCAGTCAGAGGGAACTGTTTGAAAATTAGAAAATTGCAGTTGATTGTATTAATATGCTCTAAATGTCATTTCCATTTCCCAAAAAACAACATGGATTATTTTTCTATTACAGACATATTATGGGACATTTAAAACCCTGTTTCGGCCATGCTTGCAGATCTTCACTGCTAAGCCTTTCCACTTCTTTTGAGTTCTAACTAAAAAAGTGTAATATTTCCATTTTCCTTTTCTGATTCTTTGGATATTGGCTGAAGTCATAAGCATGCTTGCCTTGATATTCTCACTCTTCCTCTGAAGATTCCCCACTGTTAAAAAATATATACAATTGCACCGGGCAGTGGTGGCGCACGCCTTTAATCCCAGCACTCGGGAGGCAGAGCCAGGCGGATCTCTGTGAGTTCGAGGCCAGCCTGGGCTACCAAGTGAGTTCCAGGAAAGGCGCAAAGCTACACAGAGAAACCCTGTCTCAAAAAACCAAAAAAAACAAAAAAAAATATATACAATTGTAAAAGATTTTGAAAGTAGCCAATTGTAGTGTATGCCTTTAATTCCAGCAAGTGGATCTCTGTGACTTTAAGACAAGTGTGATAAATATACAAAGTTCTAACACAGCCACGACTGCACAGTGAGACCCAGTAGATAAAAGATTCTTAATTTAAAGGAAAGTGCGTTAAGATGTCATGGTTGTGTTACTAGAATATATAGCATGAGCCAAGTATAGTAGCACATGCCTGTAACTTTAGCACTGAAAAGATAGAGAAGGATCTTGAGTCCAAGGCCAGTGTGAGCTGCATAGTTGAGACCCTGTCAGAAAACAAAAACAAACAAATAAAACCCCAAGGATTGACAATTCACCTAAGTAGTAGAGTACTTAAGTCATTTACTCCAAACGCTTAAATTTTATCCCCAACACCATACACCAAAATAAGAGTTTCAGAGTTGTCTGGTTTACCAACTTCACAGTGCTGTATGGCCATGAAACTATATGATACACAGTCAAGAACACAGTGTTGCCGGGTGGTGGTGGTGGCACACCTTTAATCTCAGCACTTGAGAGGCAGAAGTAGGCGGATCTCTGTGAGTTCAAGGCCAGCCTGGGCTACAGAGTGAGTTCCCGGACAGGCGCCAAAGCTACACAGAGGAACCCTGTCTCAAACAACAACAACAACAAAACCACAGTGTTTGTGAGTCTAGGAAGAAGACTCAGTTAATAAAGAATTTGCAACACAAGCATAAGAACCCGAGTTTGGCTGAGTGATGCTGGCACACTCCTTTAATCCCAGCACTTAGGAGACAGAGGCAGGCGAATCTGTGAGTTCGAGGCTAACCTGGTCTACAGAATCAGAAAAGCTCCAAGTTCAGTGAGAGACTGTGTCTCAAAAAAAGTAAGGTGGGCCAGCTGTATAGCCCAGTGGGAAAGATAATTGCCTTCAAGCCTGACAATCTGAATTCTGTTACTAGTACCCACATAATGGAATGAGAGGATTAACTCCTGCAAGTTGTCCTCTGACCTCAATAAAAACACCATGGCGTGCCTCCCACACACCTAATAAATAAATGTAATAAAACATTAAAATTTATTTTTGAAAGATTAGGTGCATAGCCATTAAGACACATGACCTTGCCTTCTGGCCTGTATATATGCACACATGTACAGAGACATATAAAGGACATAATTTTCCACTATAAATCTTCCTACTATGTAAGATGTAAATACACTTTCTATAGAGACAATGACAACATTGTAGTTTTTCATGACTGTGATGGTAGATATATATAGAGAAGGCTCAAGCCCAAGGGAAAACCTCTCCATGACCTCACACATTAGATGTCAGGTTCTTATTTCTCAAGGTTTGGCTTCCTTGAATTAGTTAATACTTTTAGATTATAAGTTCAATAAAAACCTGAAGGGTTTGGGGAAATTGCTCAGCAGTTAAAAGCACTGCCTGCTCTTCCCAAGGACCTGTGTTCAATTCCCAGCACCCACAACCGTCTGTAATTCAAGTTCTAGGGGATCCAACACCCTGTTCTTGTTTCCACAGGCACCAGGTATGCTGTACAGATATACATGGAGACAAACAGCCATAGACATAAAATAATAAATGAAATCTTGAAAAAGTTAAAACCTAGAAAATATTTATATTCTTAAAGTTATTCCATTTATTTCAAGTAGATTATCTTGAATGTGTGTAGTTTTTTTCACAAATAAATATAGCTATACTCATTCATTATAAGTACTTTGTACAATAATTTAATCTACTTTCTTTGTACAGTAAATTACACAGATTTTACATACTCAGTTCGAAATTTTTATAATTATACATGCCTTAACTATGTTAATCCTTGTACAAAATAAGCTGTCAAATTTCTGTCAACTCAGAAAGTTCTCTTTATGTTCGTGCATTGGTAAAAGAGCTTGCTGTCAAGCTTGACAACTTGAGTTTGATCCTGGAACCCACATGGTGGAAGGGTTGCTTTCTACCCTCCACAAACATGCTGTGACATGTACTCTCTATATACACACCCAAAACAAGTCAATGTGAAAATTTTTATTTCAACTTTAAGATTTTATATATATATGTATCTTTTCTTTATGGTCAGTGTTTTTTTGACTGACCCAAGAAATATTTGTCTATTTAAAGGTAGAATGGGTGTAGAAAAGTTAACAGTGGTTGACATGTGTACTGACCTTGCAGAAGACCAACTGACTAACTCTCGCTCACACCTCTGGTGTCCTTGAACAGCTACACTAACACACACATACCCCCTCCCCACCCACATAAATGTAAAAAGTTAAAATAGAGATTGGAAAGTTGACGCTTAAGTTCTGTAGGACAGAGCACCCCTCCTGGCCTCTCGGGAACACTGAGTCATGTGCATAGACACGCATGCGGGCAGAGCACTCACTCACACACATAAACTAGATTATTTTTGACTAAAATAAGTCTTAACCAGACTGCAGAGCTAATAAGCTTCAGGGATTCACCTGCCCCTGCCTCTTTAGTACTCAGAGTATAGGAACACATCACCATGCCAGGCTCTTTTTACATGCTTTCTGGAATTTAATTCAACTTCCCTTGTTACTCAGCATCCCTTTTCCTCCCATTTTTTTTTTTTTTTTATGTGAAATGATGATAAAGAGGGTCAGGATTTTTTTTTTTAATTCTGTGTTCAGAACCAATTGTTTTTATAGTTTGTTAAAAACCGCTTTTCATGGAGCTGTAGAGATGGCTCAACATTTAAAAGGCTGCTCTTCCAGAGGACCAGGATTCAATTCCCAGTAGCCTCATGACACCTCACAATCATTGTTCTAGTTCCAGCTAGTTCATGTCTCCCTGCTTTGTTTTTTGTTGTTGGTTAGTTGTTCAGATGATGATTCAGTCTCTTGCCCAGGCTAGGCTTGAACTCTTTAGTATAAGTGATTTTCCATTTCTGATTTTTTTCAAGTAGTTGAGGCTATAGGCATATACCTTTGTGTATAGGTGTTTCTAAGTTTTGCTATTTTCTCTTTTCTTTCTTTTTTTTTTTTTCCTTTCAGTTTTTCAAGACAGAATTTCTCTGTGTAGCCTTGGCTATGCTGGAACTCTCTCTGTTGTCCAGGCTGGCCTCTTAACTCAGAGATCCACCTGCGTCTGCCTCCCAAGTGCTGAGGTCATAGGTGTGTGCCATCACTCCCAACTCTTTGGGTTTTTGTTTTTTGTTTTGTTTTGAGTTTGTGTGTGTGTGTCCATCTCTGAATTATCTAGATTAGCATTTTGATGTTTAAAGTTTCTAGCCCTAGGAACAGGAAATTGATCCAGGAAAAAGAAGTATTTATGTAACTTGTATAAAGCTTTCTATTTAATGTGTGTGTGTGTGTGTGTGTGTGTGTGTGTGTGTGTGTGTGAGAGAGAGAGAGAGAGAGAGAGAGAGAGAGAGAGAGAGAGAGAGAGAGAGAGAATGAGAATGAGTTTCTCAGTTTTTCAGTTTCTTTGTGTAGCCCTGGCTGTCTTAGAACTCACAGAGCTTCACCTGCCTCTACCTCCTGAGTGCTGGAATTAAAGCCATGTGCCTCTAAGCCCTGCTCATTTTGTTTCTTGATCTGCTTAGCTTAGCCTTATGCTGTCTTGACTAGTATAAATTTTAGAATCAGCTTGTCTATTTCTTTTCTTTTTTTCTTCTTTTTTTGGGGGGTGGTTGGTTTTTTGAGACAGGGTTTGTCTGTGTAGTTTTGGTGCCTATCCTGGATCTCACTCTGTAGACCAGGCTGGCCTCGAACTCACAGAGATCCGCCTGGCTCTGCCTCCCGAGTGTTGGGATTAAAGGCATGTGCCACCACTGCCCGGCCCTTTTTCTTTTTTCTTTCTTTTTTTTTTTTTTTCTTTTTCCTGGTGTCAGATCCCCTGGATTTAAAGACAGTTGTCCAGGAAAGGTGCAAAGCTACACAGAGAAACCCTGTCTCGAAAAACCAAAAAAAAAAAAAAAAAAAAAAAAATTAAAGACAGTTGTGAGCTGTTGTGTGGGTGCTAGGAATTGAACTCAGGTCCTCTGGAAGAGTAAACAGTACTCTCAACCTCTGAGCCATCTCTCAAGCCTGTCTATTTCTTTAAAAGAAATGCTAGAGGAGGGGGTTGGAGAGATGTCTCAGTGGTTAAGAATACTGGCTGCTCTTCCAGAGGATCTGAGTTCTGTTCCCAGCACCCATATGGGACAGCTCACAACCGTATGTTGTACACAAACATGAAGATAAATTTAAAAAAAAAAATCTGCTAGAATTTTAATTGTAAACTGTAATGGAATTTCTTAGGTTAACTACCTCCTCGAGAAATAGTAATGTTCTGAATGCTTTATCATTATTATTTTGTTTAGTAGAGACAGGGTCTTGTGACATAAAAGACTTGGCTTGGCCTTAGACTCATTATATATGGTACTACCAGTCTGGACTTGAGCTCTTGGTGATTTCTTTTCTCAGCCAAGCAAGTGCTAGGGTTACAGGCCTGTGCCACCATGCCCAGCTTTCTAAAGCTGTGAAAGAAAAATGTTTGACTTTCTTGTCTTTTTCTTCTCAATTTTGTGTCTAGGTTACAAGGCAGATGCAAGAGCATGAGCAGGACTCTGAACTTCGAGAACAGATGTCTGGTTACAAGCGGATGAGGCGGCAGCATCAAAAGCAGCTGATGACTCTGGAAAATAAACTAAAGGCGGAGATGGATGAACACCGTCTCAGATTAGACAAAGATCTTGAAACTCAGCGTAACAATTTTGCTGCAGAAATGGAGAAACTTATCAAGAAACATCAAGCTGCTATGGAAAAAGAGGTGGCTAATATTATTTATTCCTTTTAGACTGTGTCCATCTCTGAATTATCTAGATTAGTGTTTTGATATTTAAAGTCTAGCCCTAGGAACTAAGGAAATTGATCCAGGAAAGAGAAGCATTTAGGTAACTTGTATAAAGCTTTCTATTTAAGAATCAAAAACAAGTGGCGCACACCTTTAATCCCAGCACTCGGGAGGCAGAGGCAGAAGGATTTCTGTGAGTTTGAGGCCAGCCTGGTCTACAGAGCGAGATTCAGGAAAGGTGCAAAACCAAAAACAAACAAACAAACAAGCAAAAAAAAACCCGGAAACAAATTGGTCAGGTTGTGGTGGCACATACCTTTAATCCCAGCAGTTGGGAGGCAGAGGCAGATGGATCTCTGTGTAAGTTCAAAGCCAGGTTGGTCTACAATGTGAGTTCCAGGACAGCCAGGGCTACACAGAGAAACCCTGTCTCAAAAATATTTAAATAAATAAACAGACAAATAAATAATTGTGCAGGTTACATGTGGTAGTTTATGCCTTTAATCTCAGCACTTGGGAGGTGGAGGCAGGTGGATCTCTGTGAGTTTGAGGTCTTGGGAGTTGGAGGCAGGTGTATATCTCTGTGAGTTTGAGGTCTTGGGAGGTGGAGGCAGGTGGATCTCTGTGAGTTTGAGGTCTTGGGAGGTGGAGGCAGGTGGATCTCTGTGAGTTTGAGGTCTTGGGAGGTGGAGGCAGGTGCATATCTGAGTTTGAGGTCTTGGGAGGTGGAGGCTGGTGCATATCTGTGAGTTTGAGGTCTTGGGAGATGGAGGCATGCTACACACATAGCAAGTTTACAGATAACCTGAATCACACAGTAAGACTCAATATTTTTACAAAAGGATCTGGAGGTAGAGATCAAAGCAGGTGATTGGGTGCTTCCCCAGCATGTACAAGGCTCAATATTTTATCCTATCTTAGCACTGCAAGAACAACAACAACAACAAAAAAGCTTAAAAAGGTACATCCTAGAAAACAGTGGCTTTGCAGCAAAATGTTACAGCTAATCTAGCTAAATTGATGAGCTCTTTGGTCAGTGAGAATCTCAGAAAATATGGAAGACACCCAGAATCAACCTCTGGCCTCCACTTATGTACACTCACATATGTAGACTCAAAACAGCACACACTCCACCCAGATTATATGTGATACATATGTAATATTTAGCATTCATTTTAGTATGAGTTACAGGTAAGGATCTAATTTGAAGATGAATGTATCTCATTATTTAATATATACATTAACTCAGGTTTTAAAAAAAAAAAAGCTTGATTTATAGGACTGGGCAGATGGCTAAGCAGTTAAGAGCACATACTCCAGGGATCCTAAGTTCAATTTCCGGCACCCACATCAGGTGGTTCATAACACCTGTAACTCCAGCACCAGGGGGAGCTGATTCCTCTGGCCTCAACAGGCATCTCCACATACCTATACACTGACAAATGCACGCATAATTAAAAATTTTTTTTAATTATTAGTTTATGTTTGAAGATAAATATGTATTTGGTTTTTTTTGTTTTTGGTTTTTTTTGGTTTTTTTTTTTTTTTTTTTGGTTTTTCGAGACAGGGTTTCTCTGTGTAGCTTTGCGCCTTTCCTGGAACTCACTCGGTAGTCCAGGCTGGCCTCGAACTCACAGAGATCCGCCTGGCTCTGCCTCCTGAGTGCTGGGATTAAAGGCGTGCGCCACCACCGCCCGGCTGTATTTGGTTTTTATTTATTGAAGGGAATGTATGGGTTTTTTTGTTTGTTTGTTTGTTTTGGGGTATTTGGTTTTGGTTTTGGAGACAGGGTTTCTCTGTATAAGAGCCTTGGCTGTCCTGGAATTCACTCTGTGTAGACCAGGCAGGCCTGGAACTCAGAGATCTGCTTGCTTCTGCCTCCCAAGTGCTGGGATTAAAGGTGTGCGCCACTACTGCACTGCAGAATGTATGTTCTTATTCAATAAAATGAGGAAAACATTTTGGTTCTGTAAATATATTTAAAAAAATAAATTGTACAAACAAAACAAATGATCTCTGAAATTAGACTGAAAAGAATGAACTGGTTAGGTTGTTTGGTCCTTTACGTTTTGATGCTTCTGTTAGTCCTCCTCCTCTTCTACCACTACTAAGTATCCTTGGTGACAGATAGTAAACTGATGCTTTAAACTTTTCTACTTAACTGATTTGATTCATTTTTTAAAAACATTCTATATAGGCTAAAGTGATGGCCAATGAGGAGAAAAAATTCCAGCAGCACATTCAGGCTCAACAGAAGAAAGAACTGAATAGCTTTTTGGAGTCCCAAAAAAGAGAATATAAACTTCGAAAAGAGCAGCTTAAGGAGGTACTTCTTTACCAAATTCCTATGTTTAATGGTTCTCTACTCGGCAGTTAGCATAAAGATTTGTTTGTGGCCACAAAGTATATATCTGCTTATGTGAGGGCATTGAGTGTAATGTCTAAGTTACTTAAGTTTTCTAGTTGACTAGGAGCTAAATAGAATCATTTCCTTCATCTAGAGATGGTGTTGTATACTGATGATAATCCTATACTTAGGAGTCTGAGGAAAAATCTACCAGTATTAATTAGCATCTTAGGGTTCATCTCCTTGAGTAATATGATTAGTTGTTTGTTTTTCAGTTTTGCCCAATATGAATGTATTTCAGAATATTGAAAAACAAAGGGATTAAAAATATGCTTAAATGTTTTATCCTTATTCCGATTAAAATATGATTTTGTTTTTAACTTGAAATCGCTTCTGGCTCTTCTTGGAAAGGTTTTTAAAGTTTTACTTTTTAACCAGTCATTCTGTGCTTTAAAGCCAGGAAACATGAAAATGAGCCTGTGCAAAACTAAAGCTATTCATGTATTATGATGTACATAGAATCATATTGCCTAGCTTTTCCGGGTCTACTGAGCTCTTCTTCCTAGAAAGAAAACACAACTAGAGTTTAGCGTGTGATGGACTGGGAATGTAGCTAGCTCCCGGCATTGTCAGGCCTACATTAAGTTCTCTCCGTTGTGAGAAGTAAGTAAGTAAATTGGTCCTAGCTAGTCATGGGGAGGTATACCTGCATAATTCTACCAACAAGGAGACTAAAGCAGGAGGATTGTAAATTCAAGACCAGCCCAGGCTGCATAGTAATAACAGTAATAAAACTCAAAACACTGCTAGATCAGTGTACCATGCTACATTATACATTCATATAGTTAATTTTTATATAGCTGAATTTTTCTGATGGTTTTGTTTCCAGGAGCTGAATGAAAACCAGAGCACACCTAAAAAAGAAAAGCAGGAATGGCTTTCCAAGCAGAAGGAGAACATACAACACTTCCAGGCAGAAGAAGAAGCTAACCTTCTTCGACGCCAAAGGCAGTATCTAGAGCTGGAATGTCGCCGCTTCAAGAGAAGAATGTTACTTGGGCGACATAACTTGGAACAGGACCTTGTCAGGGAGGTATGTATATTTGAATGCTATAAATATTAAAATAAGTAAATAGTCAGAGCTGGAAATGAAAACATTTTTTTAAGACAAGTTCTTAGTCTATGGGCCAGGTTGGCCTAAAACTCACTATTGAGTCCAAGGTAGTCTTAGACTTGTGTGGTAACTCCTGCCTCATCTCCTGATTGTTACAGTAAAACTCTTTATCAATGAATCCTTTGTGAAAATTGAAAATTTTATCTGGTGTGGTGGCGCACACCTTTAACCGCAGCACTCGGAGGCAGAGGCAGGCAGATCTCTGAGTTTGAGGCCAGCCTGGTCTACATAGTTCCAGGACAGCAGACCTGTCTCAAAAAACTGAAAGAAAGTGAAAATTTCCAGTCACTTCCAAATCTCTGCTTTTCTACATGGATTTCTCTTTACCTGTGTCACTATTGTGCAGATATTCACAAGACCTTTCTTTCCCTGTGATAGCATCTGAGAAAAACCTCCTCTTGGTACCAGTTCCTTCTCCTTCTGTCAGTGTGTCTGTCTTCCTCATTAGAACTGACTTTTGGTTTTTCGAGACTGGGTTTCTCTGTGTGGCTTTTGGAGCCTATCCTGGAACTCGCTCTGTAGAACAGATTGGCCTCAAACTCACAGAGATCCACTTGCCTCTGCCTTCTGAGAGCTTAGACCTGACTTTTTATGAAGTCTCAGACTTTGTTCAGTTCTTTGTATGCCCAACATCTACCCTATAGTAGGCATTCAGTAAATAACTTGTTGATAATATGGGAATTACAAAAATACTAATTTTTGAATATGAGAAAATTAATTTGGCAACTCTTACCTCTGATCTGGAATGGGTACCATGAGGTATGTATTAATTACCATTTACTTTTTAATAATCATGTTAATTATTATTTGGCAAGTGTTATTGAAAGTTTTTTTTCTTTTTTTAATTCTTTATTTATCTTTGGATGTGGACACATGAATATATGGAGGTCAGAGGACTACTTGTAGGAGTTAGGTGTATTCTTCTACCTTGTGGGTCCTGGGGAACTTCAGGCTTGACAAGCAGACCCCTTTACCCTTTGAGACATCTTGCCAGCCTTGCCAGTCCATTTTTCTTTTTTTTTTTTTTTTTTGGTTTTTCGAGACAGGGTTTCTCTGTGCAGCTTTGCGCCTTTCCTGGGACTCACTTGGTAGCCCAGGCTGGCCTCGAACTCACAGAGATCCGCCTGGCTCTGCCTCCCGAGTGCTGGGATTAAAGGCGTGCGCCACCACCGCCCGGCTCCATTTTTCTTTTAAGATGATGAGATCAACCTGACTTTGCTACCTGAATACTGGGATTAAAAGCTTGTGCCACCAGGCTTAGTCTTGTCTTAACAATTATCCCCTTTACCAGGATGTCTGTCAACATAGATAAATTTCTTTCAAAGAATGGAATAAAGTAAGTTGTGCTTAGAGTATAATGCTGAGTATTCAGTGAAGAAACTCAGGGGCTGGAGAGATGGCACAGCACCTAAAAGCACATACTGCTCTTGCAGGGGCCATGAGTTCAGTTCCCAGCACTCACAGGGGCCTGCAACTGCCTGTATTCCAGCTCCAAGGGGATTTGATGCCTTTGGCCTCAGGAACCTGCACCCAAGTGCTCATACCACACAACAGCACACATACCTGTAATTTAAGATAAGTTCTTAAAATTTTAAGGGCATTTGAACTTAGCCAGGCATGTTGTCACTCTGCTTGGGAGGTAGAGGCAGACAGACTTTGAGTTCCAGGACTGCCAGGGCTACATAGTGAAACCTTGTATCAAAAACATGAAAGAGGGGCTGGAGAGATGCCCCAGCCGTTTCCAGAGGACCTGGGCTCAATTCCCAGTACCCAAATGGCAGCTCAAAACTGTATAGTTCCAGTTGCAGGTGGTCCAACACCCTCACACAGACACATATGTGGGCAAAACACCAATGTACGTAAATAAAAATAAATCATAAAAATGAAATTAAAATTTAAAGTTATATTGATTAGATTTAAATTTAAAATTATATTGATAAGAAAAACCATCCAGTCTTACATGTAGGCATAGGTGTTAATGGACATTGTTAGTACCATCCTTTGAGCAATATTGAATTACAGCTTTTTGATGTTGTTGTTTTTCAAGATGGGGTTTCTCTGTGTTGTCCTGGAACCCACTCTGTAGACCAGGCTGACCTCAAACCCAGAGATCCACTTCCCTCTACCTGCCAAGTGCTGGGGTCAAAGGTGTGCACTACCACCACCTGACTGAACTATAGCTTTTAAAAATATACAGAGTGACTAGAGTAATGATTCAATGGTTAAGAAAGTTCTTGGACCTTCAGAGGACCTTTATTCAGTTTCCAACACTCAACATTAGGCAGCTCATAACAGCTTGTAATTCCAGCTCTAGCAGATCTGACACACTCTTCTGGCCTCTCAGGATACCTACACACATGTGGTGTATACACACTCATGTACACATAATTAAAAATAAAAGTAAATCGCCGGGCGGTGGTGGCGCACGCCTTTAATCCCAGCACTCGGGAGGCAGAGCCAGGCGGATCTCTGTGAGTTCGAGGCCAGCCTGGTCTCCAAAGCGAGTTCCAGGAAAGGCGCAAAGCTACACAGAGAAACCCTGTCTCGAAAAACCAAAAAAAAAAAAAAAAAAAAAGTAAATCTTTAAAAAATATGCACATAAACATTTACCTATCATATGTACATTTGGAGTTCTATCCTGTAGAAATAGTAACATGATAAACATAGTTAGACATTTGTTGATACCTTTGGTAGAAGCAAACAGAGGGAACTATCTTAAATGACTAGTCATGTAAAAATATTTGAAAATTGTATCACAAAGTGGTAGCTTTCAGTAAAAGTAAAATGTCTTTTGCTGGATGTGGTGGCACACACTTGTAATCCCAGTACTTGAGAGGGAGAGGCGAGAGGGTTTTTTCATTCATGGCAGTTTAGGCTACGAAAATTTTGTCGAGAAAGAGAGAGAGGGAGGGAGAGAGAGAGAGAGAGAGAGAGAGAGAGAGAGAGAGAGAGAGAGAGAGAGAGAGAGATGGGGGGGATGAATGAAAAAAAAGTGTTTGCATTCTGGTCTGATCCGGGTATATATGCATTAGATTATCAAATAGAAGAAAACAAAGTTATGTGTCTATATTAATCAATTGAGATGTTTTATTTTTATTTTATTTGGTTTTTTGAGACAGGGTTTCTCTGTGTAGCTTTGTGCCTTTCCTGGAACTCACTCTGTAGTCCAGGCTGGCCTCGAACTCACAGAGATCCTTCTGCCTCTGCCTCCCGAGTGCTGGGATTAAAGGCGTGCGCCACCACCGCCTGGCTTTATTTTTTTTTTATTAATGGATATGTCCCAATAAATTAGATAAAGCTGAGAAACATCTACAACAAGCTGTTACCTCTGGGAATGAGGGTTTGCAGCATAATAGATGCCGTTGATTTTTACGTTACTGATATTTCTATATGTATATATACTTTTAAAACGTATTTATTGTGTGTGTATGTGTGTGTGTGTGTGTGTGTGTGTGTGTGTGTGTGTGTGTGTGTGTGTGATTATATTTACACCACCTGTATGCAGTGCCTGTGGAGGGAAGAAGAGGATGTTGGTTGCCCTGGAAGTGGAGGAGGCTGTGAGCCACTACAGGTGCTGGGAACCAAAACCAAGTCCTTTGCATGAGCATCAAGTGCTCTTTTTTACTGAATCTTCTCTCCAGCTCCCCTTTTTATTTGGAAAAAATATCTTAAGAGAATAACTTTTTATTTATTTGTTTGTTTGCTGTGACAGGGTTTCTCTGTGTAACAGCTCTGGCTGTCCTAGAACTCCCTCTGTAGACCAGGCTAGCCTTGAACTCACTGAGATCAGCCTGCCTCCACCTCTAGAATGCTGGGATTAAATGTGTACGCCACCACCATCCAGGAAATACTTTTACTTTTATTTTTATTTTATTTTAGTTTTGAGACAGTGTCTGTCACAGCCCTGGCTGACCTGGAACTTGATATGTAGACAAGGTTGGACTTGACCTCAGAGTACAACCTACCTCTGCTTCCTAGTTCTGCTATTACACGTGGGAGCCACCATGCCCAGCAAGAATAATGGTCATTCTTCACCACCATGTGCTACATATTATATATTATTTTGAGAAGCTTTTTTTTTTTTTTTTTTTTTTTTTTTTTGGTTTTTCGAGACAGGGTTTCTCTGTGTAGTTTTGGTGCCTGTCTTGGATCTCGCTCTGTAGACCAGGCTGGCCTCGAACTCACAGATCCGCCTGGCTGTGCCTCCCAAGTGCTCGGATAAAGGCGCCACCACCACCACCACTGCCCGGCCTCTGAGAAGCTTTTGATTACGAACTTATCTCTTCCTCATTAAATCTGTGAAATAGAACTATGAGGCCTGGAGAGACGGCTCAGCGGTTAAGAGCACTGGCTGCTCTTCCAGAGGTCCTGAGTTCAATTCCCAGCAACAGTGGCTCACAACACTTGTGATGAGATCTGGTTCCCTCTTCTGGCATGCAGACATACATGCAGACAGAACACTGTATACATAATAAATAAATAAATCTTAAAAAAGAAAGAGTTCCAGGAAAGGCGCAAAGCTACACAGAGAAACCCTGTCTCGAAAAGCCAAAAAAAGAAAGAAAGAAAGAAAGAAAGAAAGAAAGAAAGAAAGAAAGAAAGAAAGAAAGAAAGAAAGAAAAGAAAAGAAGTAGAACTATGACATAGTAGGAGGGAGCGTTCTTTTTATGTACACACGAACAGACACAAAAGTCATAGAAATTTATAACTATGCAGCCATTATTGGAGCACAGGGTTTATTACATCTACTTTTTTGTGTTTGTATTTTTAATTTTTTTTTCTTTTTTTTTTTTTTAATGAGTGTGTGTATGAATGCACACATACTCCCATGAGTGTAGCTACACATTAGCCAAGGTGTACATGTGGAGATCAGAATACAACTTGAACTGTTGGTCCTTGCCTTCCACTGTGTTTAAGATTAGGGTCTCTCTTCTGTTGTTCACTGTAGTGTCTGCCAGGCTAGCTAGCCTACAAGGTTCTAGGGATTCTTGTGTCTCTACCTTTTATCCCACTGTAGGAAGATTGGAATTACAGACACATACTATCATGGCTATAATTTACATAGGTTCTGGGGATTTGAAGTCAGATCTTCATGTTTCTGTGGAAAGTGAAAATATTTGTTAATGTTTTCCCCCTGGGTTTGTAAAGCTATAAAGTATACCTTTGTCTTCGGAATTATATTTTAGGAGTTAAACAAAAGGCAGACTCAGAAGGACTTAGAACATGCAATGCTACTACGTCAGCATGAATCCATGCAAGAACTGGAGTTTCGCCACCTCAACACTATTCAGAAGATGCGCTGTGAGTTGATCAGACTGCAGCATCAAACTGAGCTCACTAACCAGCTGGAATACAATAAGCGAAGGGAACGGGAACTAAGGCGAAAACATGTTATGGAAGTTCGACAACAACCTAAGAGTTTAAAGGTACCGTTAGTGTAAGCTTCTTGGCATATGTCTAGTCATTGAGACAGGTTGAGTTGACTCAGTCCTGTTCATTTTTAGCATGCTTGCATGGTTCCTGTATGGACTGCCTGCTGCTTCAGCTTTTGCTTGTGTTCTTTGTATCAAAGGAAAAGAATCACCAAAAGTTTTAACTGTGGAAATTCTTAATCAGTATTTTTTTTAATGTAGATAGTATCTGACGCTGAAATTATAGTCTACAGGTCAAAATACTAACCTGTCACTTTCTTTTTATTCTAAGTAACTCAGTCTAGCTCTTAATTTGATGTCAATATGATTTATATAAAATTTTTGGTATTTTGAGACAGGCCTCACTATGTACCTCTGGCTGTCCTGGAACTCACTATGTGGACCAGGCTGGCCTCAAACTCACAGAGATCTGCCTGCCTCTGCCTCCTGAGTGCTGGGATTAAAGGTGTGTGCTACCACCGCCCAGCTGATTTATATAAAATTTAAAAATATAAAAGTGGGTTTGAAGAGATGGCTCAGCAATTAAGAGCAATGGTTGCTATTTCAGAGGACTTGGAATTGATTCCCAGCACTGACATGGTGATTCATTACCATCTGTAGCTCTAGTTCCAGGGAACCCAATACTCTGACTTTTCAGGTACCAGGAATACATGGTGCACATACATTCATGCAGGCAAAATACTCATAATTATAAAATCAAGTTTAAAAAAAAATTTAATGTAAAAGTTTGCTCTCTTCCTTTATCCTACATTCCTAAACCCCAACAAAGATTGTTTTTTAAATATTTAGCTCAAATGGAACTTAACAATTCTAAGAAAATTTTCAAATTTCATATTTTATAATGAATATTTGAAGTAATTGAATCAGTTTTTAAAAACACAAAACAAAAAGCACTCACTGTAAGGTTTTCATCAGTGATTATAGTTTGCTTAATCTGTACTTGTTTACAGATTAAAAATTTTTTTATGTCCAGTTAGCTCCAGGTCCCAAAGTATTTATGTTGAAAAGATTGCTTTTCTGCCAAATATGGCATCCTTTAATCCAGCACTCAGAAGACTGGAGCACTTACAGAGTAGTTGTGTTGATTGCCAGTGTTTAAAGAGGTTGGAATTCATAATGACTTTTTGGACTTTTTTTTTTCCCCTCGAGACAGGGTTTCTCTGTGTAGCTTTGTGCCTTTCCTGGAACTCGCTTTGGAGACCAGGCTGGCCTCAACTCACAGAGATCCGCCTACCTCTTGCCTCCCGAGTGCTGGGATTAAAGGCGTGCGCCACCACCTCCTGTGGAATGGATTAGGTAAAAACTACTGCCTCTTCTATGTCTTCAACCTGCTTTCCAGGTGATGACTTTCTTTGTGAGTATTATATGAGTAGAAATAACTATAATTTGAATCCATCTCACTTTCTTTGGGTTTTTTCAGACAGAATTTCTCTGTGCAGCCTTGGTTGTCTTGGAACTCACTCTGTAAACCAGGCTGGCCTTAAACTCACAGACATCCACCTGCCACTGCCTGCCAAGTGCTGGGATTAAAGGCATGTGCAACTACCACCCAGCTTCCCATCTCATTTTCTGTTGAATCAACATCGAAGGATGTAGTTTTTCTTGGTCTGATTATTAATATTTTTCGGGGGCTTTGGTTTCACTTTTGGTTTTTTTATTTCCATTTTGTGTGTGTGAATGTTGGCCTATATGTATGTATGTGACTGGTGCCCTCAGAGACCAGAAGAGGGCCTTGGATCCTCTGAAGCTAGACTTACAGGTGGTGTATGAGCTGCCATATGAGTGCTGGGAACTGAACTCAGGTCCTCTGCAAGAGTACCTAGTACTCTTAAGACTGCTCTGACTTTTTTTGTGGGTGGAGGTGTCAGCAGTTAGGTAAGGGACATTTTTTGTGTTTCTCGATTTTTTTTTTTTTTTTTTTTTTTTTTTTTTGCTTTTCAAGGCACAATCTCATAGTCCAGGCTGGTCTCAAAACCACTGTGTAGCTGTGGATAACCTTAACTCCTACTCCTCTTACCTTTCCCAAGTACTAAGATTACAGGCATGTGCCAAATCTGACTCTTCCTCTTGGTCTTTGCAGCAGTCTCTCTATGAAGTCCAGGTGGGCTTAATCTTCCTACCTCGGCATCCCAAGTGCTGGTATTATAGCGTCTTCCAACAATGATCTAATTTTATTTATGATAAAGAAAATTTTAAGGAGCACTCTCCATGTTATGGAATGATTAACATTTTAAAGAAGATACTGTTACACAGAGGTAGAAGATAATGTCTAAATTTCATTATTTTGTTCTTGTCTAGAAGCTCTTGGTAGAATGTTGATCCAAAACAGTATTTAAGCTGAGTGTGGTGGCTCTTTAGTCCCAGCACTCTGGAAGCAGAGGCAGCCTGAATATATCAAGTTCAAGGCCAGCCAGAGTTACATGGTGAGACCTTGTCGCCAAACAAACCAAACCAGTATTTAAGAGCAATGATACTAAGCTTGGCTAAACCAAAAGTCTTTTATAATTTTCCATTTCTTTTTTTTTTTTTGAGGATCAAACCCAGGACCTTGCGCTTGCTAGGCAAGCGCTCTACCACTGAGCTAAATCCCCAACCCAATTTTCCATTTCTTTACCCTTCACATATGAGCCCTAGCATATGGCCAGGACATGGTTCCTCAGTTGGTGTGAAATACAGATATATTTATATTAATGTTATAATGTGGATATAGAGACATTTTCTTTTCCTGGACAAATAGGTAACTTTTTATTTAATTATACTTTACTGTTAGGCAGGTGCTCTACTTCTAAACGAATCCCCAGCTAAACTTGGGTTTATGTTTGTATTCGTTTTCTTCTTTTCGAGACAGAGTTTCTCTGTGTAGCTTTGGAGCCTATCCTGGAACTCACTCTGTAGCCCAGGCTGGCCTCAGACGCACAGAAATCCTCCTGGCTCTGCCTCCCGAGTGCTGAGATTAAAGGCATGTGCCACCAACGCCCAGCTATATTTGTATTCTTGACCTGTATATTGAATCAACTAATTTATATCTGCCATTATTTATAATGGTAAAAAATATTTTTAACTGTGGGTTCTGTTTCCGTATAGTAAGTGAATATATTCTCACTTCTAGGCTGAACTAACATACCTTATAGAACTATATCTTGCCATGCAGTGGTTTGGCACACCTTTGTCCCAGCACTCCGGAGGCAGAGGCAGGCGGATCTCTGTGTGTTCAAAGCCAACCTGGTCTACAGAGTGAGTTCCAGGAAAACCAAGGTTACAAGAAACCCTGTCTCAAAAAACCAAAATAAATCAATAAAAATAGAAAAGAATAAAGTAAGCCATTACTGCAGATGGCACATGCCTCCTGTAGTCCCAGCACTGAGCAGGCTGAAGGACACTGAAGTGGGAGGACTTCAAGGACAACTCAGTCAACTTAGCACAACCTTGTTTCAAAATAAAACATTTTTTAAAGGGGTGGGAATATGAATTGATGGTAGAGTGTTTGCTGACATGTATGATGCTTCAGGTTCAGACTTTAATATTGTAAGGCAGGTGGAGTGAACTAATGTTTGATTCTGTCTAGCTTATTGTCTTAAAGAAAAGACAATTGCAATAATCATTTACTATTGCACACTTCAAAATCAGTCTAAAGTTTGGCACATAGATTCCACAGAAAGTAGGATCTGTTACAGATTGTGGTTAGAGTTGAGATTATCATGGAAAGAAAAGAAATTGGAGTGGAGCGTTCTAAATAAACAAAGAAACAATGCTTTGTTTTCTGCCTCAAAATATCTGGTAAAATTCTGCCTTACTGAATAACTACCATAATTTGATTTATGAGATGAAATTTAGGTTTATGACGTGAATGTTTGCCAAGTATAAAAAATAGCTGCAGTCTTATCATATGACCTTGTGGTTTTCTTCTTTCTTCTTGACTATATGTAAGTAAGTATACACGATGCCAAACGCTATATGTTGAGATATACACTCAAACTTCTCTCCTTTCTCTCTCCATATATATATATATTGTTTGTTTGTTTTCTTTCCAGTCTAAAGAACTCCAGATAAAAAAGCAGTTTCAGGATACATGCAAAATTCAAACCAGACAGTACAAAGCATTAAGAAACCACCTGCTGGAGACTACACCAAAGAGTGAGCACAAAGCCGTTCTGAAGAGACTCAAGGAGGAACAGACTCGGAAGTTAGCCATCTTGGCTGAGCAGTATGATCATAGCATTAATGAAATGCTCTCCACACAAGCTGTGAGTTTGCTTTGTTTAGGCAAAACAAATTCAGTACCCCTTTCTTTGTACCACCTACATGACACCCTAGCAGTTCAAAGATAAGCTGGGAAAACATAGTGGTCATCCATAGTCTTCCGATTCTTAGCATTGCTTGGAAAAACCATGGTGTATTTAGAATTTCACTGATATATTTAAACATAAGATCTTAATAAGGTTCCCTGCAGGTGTGTATTCCAACAACTTAAAAAGACCAGGTGAGTAAACTGTAGGCAAAACATACTTATGTATATAGGAATCTAAATGGTTACCTTGGAGCACACAGATGAAATACTGTGCAAGTATTTTCTTTTTCTTTTTTTTTTTAAACAATTTATCTTTATTTTATGTGCTTTGGTGTATGCATGTATGTCTGTTTGAGGGTGTCAGATCTTAGAGTTACAGATAGTTGTTAGCTGCCATGTGGGTGCTGGGAATTGAACCCAGGTCCTCTGGTAGAGCAATTGGTGCTCTTAACTGAGCCATCACTCCAGCTCTGCGCCCCCCCCCCCTTTTTTTTTGTTTTTGTTTTTTTTTTGTTTTTCGAGACAGGGTTTCTCTGTGTAGCTTTGCACCTTTTCTGGATCTCGCTCTGTAGACCAGGCTGGCCTTGAACTCACAGAGATCTACCTGCCTCTGCCTCCCAATTTAATCTGGGATTAAAGGCATGGGCCACCACCACCCGACACAAGTATTTTCTTAAAGGACCAAATAATCAGTATTTTTGATTTTGCAGACCAGGAGGTAAAATTGATATTGTGTAGGTACTTCTAACTATTAAAAATGTAACCATGTCAAAATGTAAAACTCAGTTTTAGCTATTGAACTGAACAAAAATAAAAAAGCAGCTACCCAGCTCGGGCTTGTGTACTATGCTTATTGACTTTGATTATACTAGGGAAGTAGAGACTGAGCACTTTATATTACCCAATCATATTCTAGATTTTTCTTAAGAAAAAGTATAGTTATTCAGGCATCTTCAGAACAGCTTATGATAGCATCTTCTGTCATGCAGTATTGGTTATTATCTTTCTTCTTCAGGGTTGTTCACACCAGACTACAAGAAAGAGCTCTTATATAGCTTACAAAAACGTAGTCTGTCTTCTATAAGTTATGAATGGGTAGTTCACAGTAGAATATATCAGTTTCTCTTCTTTCTCTCAGCTGCGTTTGGATGAAGCACAGGAAGCAGAATGCCAGGTTTTGAAGATGCAGCTGCAGCAGGAACTGGAGCTACTGAATGCATATCAGAGCAAAATCAAGATGCAGGCTGAGGCCCAACATGATCGAGAGCTTCGAGAGCTGGAACAGAGGGTCTCCCTTCGCAGGGCACTCTTAGAACAAAAGGTATAGATAATAGAAGGAAGAGAATTGTTCTACTATTGGTTTTGTTGTTGTTGTTGTTGTTTGTTTTTCGAGACAGGGTTCTCTGTGTAGCTTTGGTGCCTATCCTGGAACTCACTCTGTAGACCAGGCTGGCCTTAAACTCAAAGAGATCCTCTTGCCTCTGCTTCCCAAGTGCTGGGATTAAAAGCATGCGCCACCACCGCTCAGCCTACTATTGGTTTTTAATCAAAAGAATTAAATATACGTGTGTGCTCACAAGCTTGGGGATGTGGGTGCGTGTGCTTTTATTTTCTTTGAATACGTGTGTATGATGTATTGTCTGTACAAGTGCATGTTTGTGTGTGAGTGCAGGCTTCTATGGCATGGCATGGTGGAAGTCAGAGAAGGATGTCAGGTGTTAGTCTTCACTCTGCGCCTTGTTGTGGCAGCCAGCCCACAAGTTCTGGGGCCCTTCTCTGCTTTCCATCTCAGCATAAACACAGTGGAATTACAGACAGGCCTTTTCATACTTTGCTGCCTTTTTTTTCTTCTTCTTCTTCTTCTTCTTCTTCTTCTTCTTCTTCTTGAGACAAGGTTTGACTATGTAGCCCTGGCTGGCCAGGAACTCTATGTAGACCAGGCTAGCTTTAAACTCACAGAGAAGGTGCAGCAGTGTACCTGGCTGTATCTAGGTTTTACATAGGTTCTGGAGATCCGTCTCCATAGCTCTGGTTTGTTTTTGAGGCAGGGTCTCACTCCATAACCCTAGCAGACCTTGAATTTCCTAGATAGACGAGACTGGCCTTGAACTCAGAGTTCTCCCTGCCTCTACAGGTGTTGGGATTAAAGAATTGCACCACCACACACCAGGTTCACAGCTTTTAATTATTTGGACTGAGGGAATGAGCTTCAGGTCTTGCACTTAGAAGACAAGAACTCTACTGATATCAACAGGGATTGAGTTAGTTTAAGTATTCAATAATGAACTTTTTAATTAATGAGTTCTAAACCTCAAAGGAATATAATTAATGGGTAAAGATTATGAGCTGTGAGAAGACTAAGACTTGAGACCTTGGAGGTATGAAGGAGCCGCTGAAACAACTCAGAGATCTGAAGGTGGAGCTGTCTCAAATTCTGAAGTTTACATGTGTCTCTGTGCTAAGCTTTCCAAGTTCGGAGTTGTCCACAAATCCTTCATTCGTGTCCTCACCATCATTAACCAGAAAGAAAACCACAGAAAATTCTACAGGGACAAGTACAGGCCCATGGACCTGTGGCCCAAGAAAGAATGAGCCATGCACCACTGAGCCCGTGAGAAACTGAAGAAAGGAAGTCGTGGCTCTACCCACTGGGCAAGTACTTTATCAGGGCCTGAGGTCCAAAAACAATAACACACACAAAATGAACTGTGCATGGCGGCACATACCTATAATCTACCCTTGGGATGTGGGTGTGGATGCAGGAGGACAGGAGTTCAAGATCATCCTTGCCTACATAGCAGGTTTGAGGCCAACCTGGGCTACGTGAGAGCTTGTCTCAGTACAAACAAAAAGAATATGAAGCTATGTGAAGATCACAGAATTGTGAGAGAAGCAATGCTTTCTCCATTTCCCTTACTTCTTTGTCTGCCTAGCTCTACCTGAGGAGACTACAGAAAGACTGACTGACATAATGAGGAAGAAGAATTGCAGTGATTGCCTGAGAGAGAGAACCAAGAAAATATATATATATATATATATATATATATATATATATATATATATATATATATATATATATAAACTTCACTCTTAAGTCTTTGTCTGAAACTGTGCAGATGGTGGGAAATTACTGAGGAACAGAAGTTAAAACCAGTTCCACAAGCTGAAAAATTACACATCTTTTTTTTTTTTTGGTTTTTTGAGACAGGGTTTCTCTGTGTAGTTTTGTGCCTTTCCTGGAACTCACTTGGTAGCCCAGGCTGGCCTCGAACTCACAGAGATCCGCCTGGCTCTGCCTCCCGAGTGCTGGGATTAAAGGCGTGCGCCACCACCGCCCGGCAACCAAAATTACACATCTTACACATCTAGATTCATCATTACTGTTTGGAGCTTTGGCCGGTGCGGGTGGAGGGGGATGGAGACAAGTCTTATAGTTTAAGTTGGCCTTGAACTCTCCTCAGAGTTGTTTCCACCTTAGCGTTCGGATTACAAGCATGCAGCACCATGTTAGCATGTCTTTACTTTTCTGACTTATTGTCAGATATATTAGAAAATAGACCTAGAATCTTGAAATTAATTTGTCGTTCAAAGTACTAAGGTATATGTATGTCTGTCTGAGAGAGATTGATTTAGTAAAAGGATATTAGCAAAAGATTTTTGAGTTAGAAAGGGAAGGCATTCATTATGAGAAATGGTAGTCATTTATATATGGAATTCAGTGATACGTTCCAAAGTTCTTGAGTAGTAAATTCACAATAGTTGATGTAGTATCAGTCCATTGTGCATTGTTAGTTGGTACTTGCCAATTGGTCGTCTTAAAATTGCCATTGTTTTGAACCATTGGCTTGTAAAGTTTTCTGTTCATGTAGTTCTTGTAATAAAAATAGAATACCTTACTTTGTGTGTGTGTGTGTGTGTGTGTGTGTGTGTATGCTTGTAATTACTGTTAATCAATAAATTAATATTTATTTGTTTATTTACTTCAATCAAGCCTGGTGGCACAGGCTTACAATCTCAACTACTGGGGAGGCCAAGGCAGGATAATTGCAAGTTCAAAGCCATAATGGGCAACTCAGCACGACTCTATTAAACAGATAAAAGCAGAAGCCAGGTTGTGGTAGCATCGGTACACTTGGGAGGTAGAGGCAGGCAGACCACTGTCAGTCTCTTAGCCTGGTCTACAGAGTGAGTTCCAGGACAGCCAGAGCTGCACAGAGAAACCCTGTCTTGGGGTGGGGAGGGGGAGTTAAATAAGTAAATAAAAGTAGGGCGGGTAAGATGGCTGAACAGGTAGAGGCATTTGCTGCCAAGCCTGACAAGCTGTGTGTGATCCCCAGGACCCACCTCAACTGTCATCCACCTCCTCTGCTATCCCTCTCCTTCCTTCTCTGCCTTCTCTTTTTGGTGCAGAACATTGCACATACTAAACACATGCTCTATGACTGAGCAATACTTCTAACCCTAGTTCTTCAAAATTTATGAAGTCTTATTTCAACTCTTACCTCCAGATGAATAGCCTCCTGGGTGCTGGGATAACAGGTGTACATCGCCAAGCCCAGTCAATTTAAAAAGTAGGAAGAAAACTTTCTGTTGTATGGATGAGTTGACAATCAGAATCTACTGATTAATATTATTACTCAAAAGATGGGGCTGGAGAATGGCTTAGTGGTTGAGAGCATTAGTTTGATTCCCAGCACCCTTTTAATAGCTCATATCTACCTGTAACTCCAGTTTCAGAGGATCGGACACCCATTTCTTTTGTCCATGAGTATCAGGCACACACATGGTGCAGACAAAAATACATATATACATAAATAATAATAATTTAAAATGTTTTTGTTTAATCAAAAGAAGGATCAAGCCATGCATGGTGGCACGTATCTGTAATTCTAGCACTTGGCAGGCTGAGGCAGGAGGATTCAAAGTTCAGCATAGCTTGAGGTACATAAAGCAATGGACTATTTGAACAGACACACATTTTATGTGATATAAAATGTAGTATCTAGGTGGTAATTTTTTCTAGCATGCGGGAGATCCGGGGTTCAATCAACAGTACTGACTTCATCCATCCCCAACCCAATTTTGTTTTGTTTTGTTTTGTTTTCTTTGAATAAAGCTGATAAGATGGTACACCATACTATGATTCAGCATGGTAACCATATCATGCTGAATCCAGTTCTTGTGCAGTTTGATTTAAGACATGGATATACTGTTCTCCGGCACAGAGAGTTCTGACTGATGCAAGAAGATAATGAGTTTTGGCCAGTTTATATAAATAAATGACCAATTAATCAGTCAATCCTTATTTAACCTAAATATAAACATCCCTCTGGATCTACCAGTTTATAGCAAATACCAAGTAGAGCACAGGAGAAAATACTAAATGATGGCATCAAGATGTAATTGGTCAGCTGGGCGGTGGTGGCGCACACCTTTAATCCTAGCACACGGGAGGCAAAGGCAAGCAGATCTCTGTGAGTTCGAGGCCAGCCTGGTCTAGTCTACAGAGCGAGTTCCAGGACAGGCTCCAAAGCTACACAGAGAAACCCTGTCTCAAAAAAACCAAAAAAAAAAAAAAAAAAAAAAAAAAAAAAGATATAATTGGTCAAATCCAGAATTTAGACATTTTTATAGGACAAGTGAGCCAGTTTACAAGTGACAGGTGAGGGGAATGGACAGGCTGTTATAGACTTTAAAAAAAAAATTAAAAGACAAATAACAAAATGAATGGTTTTTGTTTGGGCCTCAATCCAAATAAAAAAATTATCAACAAGACTTTTGAGATAATAAGAGGAATTTATATACACACTGAAAATTGGTTATCAATTTATTAGATATCATAACGAAATGGTTATTTTGATAACTATAATTAACATGAGGTCAAAAAGTACAATCTGACTGGGTACTCCAGAGGGAGGGTCAGGTAGATTGTGAGTTCAAGGCCAGCTAAGACTACACAGTGAGACCCTGTCTCAAATCCTATTTGTACTTAAGAATAGAATGTTTTTCAAAAACTGTAAACACTTTCTCTATAACAAAAAAAGTAGTGGCACACACCTGTAATCCCAGTGTATCTTTTAAAACAATTTTCAGTATAATTCATAAAAAAGCTGTTAATTGTTTTGAGTAGTTATTGCTGCTTTAGCTTATAGATCTGAAACATAAATTGATATTTTTACTCCCTTTTCCTACCCTGACAGATTGAAGAAGAGATGTTGGCTTTGCAGAATGAACGCACAGAACGAATACGTAGCCTGCTTGAACGTCAAGCCAGAGAAATTGAAGCTTTTGACTCTGAAAGCATGAGACTAGGTTTCAGTAACATGGTCCTTTCTAATCTCTCCCCTGAGGCATTCAGCCACAGCTACCCAGGAGCTTCTAGTTGGTCTCACAATCCTACTGGGGGTCCCGGACCTCACTGGGGTCATCCCATGGGTGGCACACCACAAGCTTGGGGCCATCCAATGCAAGGTGGACCCCAGCCTTGGGGTCATCCCTCAGGGCCAATGCAAGGGGTCCCTCGAGGTAGCAGTATGGGAGTCCGCAATAGCCCCCAGGCTCTGAGGCGGACAGCTTCTGGGGGACGGACAGAACAGGGCATGAGCAGAAGCACGAGTGTCACTTCACAAATATCCAATGGGTCACACATGTCTTACACATAATAATTGAAAGTGGCAATTCCGCTGGAGCTGTCTGCCAAAAGAAACTGCCTACAGAAATCATCACCGCAGCCTCCTCACTTGGGTACTACCGTGTGGAAGCTGAGTGCATATGGTATACTTTATTCGTTTTTGTAAAGCGTTATGTTTTGTGTTTACTAATTGGGTTGTCATAGTATTTGGCTGCCGGGTTTTTGTGGTTGGCTTTTGTTTCTTTGTTTTTAACTTTTGGAAAATTTTAAAAGTGGGAATAGATAAATATTTCATGTGTGTGGCAAAAAGAAATTGGCTTAATAGAAGGGGTTTTATCTGAACAATGTCAAAATAAAATGAAGCAAACTGGCCTGAATCATCACTTTAGGATGTCCATAGCCTAAGAAGTTTATTGGAAGATCTAAAGCCTTCCTCCCTATTCCACATCCTGTGAGCCACTGAGGGCAGGTAGCATCCATGCTGAAACACACCTCCACTCCTTACGAGTGTGTTTCCTTTCTTTATAAAATGGGTCTGACTTCCCAACCTCATTTGGACTAAAAAACAGAAAACCATGAACATTAAAAGATTGTGTTCACCTTTTCAGGTGGTAAAACATCATGTAGTTCTTTGCTAAGTGCTTCAGAAGTTTGTCGCTGGTTTTGTAGGTTGTATCATATAAGATGGAGTTGCTTAAGGAGATCATAAGCTGTGTGGGGATTGCACTAACAAGCCTGTGAACTATCAGAGAGAAAAACCAGAAGGTCAGGGGACCATGAAAGTTCCTGTGATAGATATGTTCAGCATAGAGTGAGGAGATAAAGCCTCTCTATTCTGACATTTTGTCTCTTGTACAGTGAGATCTCATGCTACCCAAACTCTAAGACCCCAGACAGTACTTTTGCTTTGTTTGTACAAAACAAAGACACTTAGCCAACACAGAGCAGATGCCAGAGGTATTTGAATGATGCCATATTTGTGAACTGCCATCTATTCAAATATTCATCACACTACACAGACATAATTTTATTACCCCCTTTTTGGTGTATGGGATTTCCTGTTTACAAGTAGCAATAGTCAATTATTTATTTAGTTGCCACCAGGAGTGACTGAGCCAATGACTACCAGCTGCTGACTAATCCTCACACTGTGGATGCCGCTTCATCTGCAGGTCCTCTGTGTTTAATTGCTGTTTCATTGCTGCAGTACCTTACAAACTCTTAGTTCATTAGGGACCATCTTGGTCCATGTTAATATCACACAGTAGCAAATTCCCTTTCAGAAGTCTCTAGCTTAGTGCTGAAATACTACTGAGAAGAAACTAGTAGTTTGGTGAGTAAAAGAAAACAACAACAAAAATTAAAAGTAAGTTCCATAGTGGTCAGGGACCACTAACTGGGGAGTGTGTTCTGTCTTTTTTCAATGAAGGATCAATCCAGTGGTCTACGTCAGTGCTAGTTTGTGTCCTCTGGTTGCTTGTGGAGATCGTGAGTTGGAGGTAGACAAGGGGCAGTGCCATTTTTAGTGACAGAGCAGAGTTTCTTACAAGTTATTGCCCTGCTCCCCTTTCAGTTGTCTTGAAGAGCTCTTGTTGCTAACTCTGGGTCCTACTTTTCATGGAATTAGAGGGTAAGAACACACTTAATCATACTTAGAACAAACTAGCGACCAAATTGTCATCTACTACTATTGACGTTCTTTCTTTTCTTAACATTTTATGTCTTGTCCAGGTATGTCATTCCAATCTCCATGACTTACCCCCTTAAGGAATTTCTGACTTTGGTTTGAGGGTTTCTGACACTAGTTAAAAGAAAAATTAGATCTGGGTGTAGTAGCACATGCTTATAATTCCAGCACTTAGGAAGTGGGAGTCTGGGGTTCAAGGCTGCCTTCATCTGTCTCACAAAGGGCAGAAAGAAAGATGCTATAATATAGATCCTCGGAAAACCAATAGAAGGTTGACAGTAAAGTTTACACACACTTCTAGGCAAGGTTTAAGCATGTTCTATGTCGGTTTTTAGGTGAACAAATAGCTAATGAAAAGGACTCTTAGTTTTCTGTCTTTTGCATTCAAAACACTATTCAAGAGTTTCAAACAAAGTGAGAGCTCTATATATTTGGAGGAAATAAGGGAAAGCTTTAGATTTAATAGAATGTTCAAAACTATAAAAGAAGACCATCTTTTATAAGATGATCTTATAAAACGATTAAAAACCATTTTTCATACGTCTGGCCCCATCTGCTCCCGGAGGGTTAGAATGGGAAAGCAAGTCAGATGTGAATTAAAAATTTCCTTCAGACTCCAAACTACTACCAGAGATACACTTTATAGTCCAGCTGTGAGATTCACTTGGTCAAATTGAGTTACTGAGTCCATTTTGATCGCAATGCACTCATACTAGTGTGATTGAATACTATGTGTCATGTCCAATAGGAATTTCTGCCTCATCTAATTCTGTGGCACCCAGTTTTCCCATGTAGGTCATGATTATACGATCAATTTAGTTAAAATACGTGTGGTTTGCAAAATGATTAAAATTAATAGGTTTGTGTATTTGTAAGTGCTAACTTCTGAGGAATCATGTACATGGCAGAAATCATCACAGTAAAAACTGGTAGCAGGAAAATTTGAAAGGGTTTGAAATGCCCTGAAGATAAGGCAAGTACTTTCTGGGGGGGGGGGGGGGAGTAGAAATGTAAACATTTGACCAAATTAGCACTCCCCCCTCCCCAGTTAATTCACTTATTATATGTGTGTTGAAGAAAGTGAAAGTGTGGAGAAATGGGTAGTGCACCAGAAGTTATGGATATGTCTAGTATCCAGAACCTAACAGGGAGATCTTTCTTGTTCTACCTTTCTTGGGTCAGCATTTTAAAAATAAAAGCCTCATATCTTGAGATATTTTATTCCTCATTAAATTCACTGCCCTTTGCACATAACTTTTCTTTTAAACTTAGCTCTAACCCTAAATTGTGACATCAGAAAGTGTTTACACTGTGTAAACAATGTTAGCTGAAAGTGTGTTTATATTTTAGAGTTTCTATTCTGCACATTTCCATGACTAGAGATGAGTAGTCCTGATTATAAGGTCACATCCACAGGTGAAACACACTTAGTCTCAAGTCAAGGCCTTGCTGATAAGTGGAGCTTTGTACATTGTCATTATGATTTTTTGACTGCCTGGATATCAAGTAAACAACATTCAGAACACTAAAGAAACTGGCCTGCAGATTCCACCCTGCTACTAACAAGTTTTTGTGTATATCCCTTTTTTCCCCCCCAGATCTTAGGGCAGAATTTAGTAAGTTTGTGCTTCTGTAAATGTCTAGCATTTTAAACATATATAGAATACATTGTTTTGGACACTGGAATAATATGATTTATTTTCACCTATAAAAATGATTTCATTGTACTTGAACACCTTTGCATTTCTCCATTTGTGCCATTTACAAGTGGAAATAAATTGTATTATACCATGATCTACTGGCTTTTTAAAACTTTACATATGCACATTTTTGGTATAGCTATTTTCATTTGTGTATATTTGTGTGTGTGTGTGTGTGTGTGTGTGTGTGTGTGTGTGTGTGTGTGTGTGTGTGTGTGAGAGAGAGAGAGAGAGAGAGAGAGAGAGAGAGAGAGTCTATATGTGTATAGATAGATGGTTATAACTCATTCTATATATGTCTGCCAGGGTTCAGTTTTGAGTTTTGTTGTTGTTTTCTTTTTTATCCTCTGTTAAGGCAAGGATGTGTCTGTTTTTTAAAGAGTGTTCTGGGCTGATATTTATGAGATGATTAGTAGATACAGTCTTTCTTTTTCAGTCCCTTAGCACTTCTATTAGTGAGGAGAGGGTTAAGTAAAATCAAGCCATAAATTACAATGTAGTAAAATGTGATAGGGAAGGAGCCAGTTGGTGTGTTTCTTTGAGGTGGTTTACAATGCAACAGAAGATACACGCAGGAGAAAAGTGAACAGCTGTGCAAAGGACGGACACCCCAGTGCTGATTCTGCAAAGGTGAAAAGTCACCTTTTAGATTCCTAGTGTTGAATCTGGGACCCCTCATTCCCTTTTCCTCTTAATAACAGTAGTTCTGTATTTTACTGAGGATCAAAACTGCCAAGAAAGAAATCACTACTAAAACTTATCTGAGGTTCTCCTAAACTGTCAATTACAGGAGGTGGTCACTGGGAGAGAAGGCGTGAACTGGTTTGAAGGGTTGTCTCCTTAAGTACTCTTCTTACTTGCTAATAGTAAGTTCCTTATGAACCTTCCACCCCTTCTGAGCCACTGCTGTTCAAGCAGAGATTTGGTCCAACACACACCGCTTTCTGAGTTTCTTTTCTTTTGAGACAGGGTCTTGCTGTGTAACCCTTTCTGGTCTGGTAATTGATGTTTACCCGAGGCCGACCTCAAATTCCTAGCACTCCTGTCCCAGGCTCCCAGGTAGTGGGGTTCCAGGCCTGAACCACCATGCTCAGCCACAGCACCCCTTTCTTTTGGAGGTTTATAGTTTTGCATTTGACTCATGTTCAGAATGTGAAGTGTCCTAATGTGTATTAAAGTCAGAAAAATAATATATTTAAGCTGTACTAAGTGTGAATCTTCTATAATGATGAAAATTTCTCACTTCTTACGTAGAGCCTTCTCTAAAGAGCAAAGTCAAAATTTGGGCTGTCATCACTGAGCTGCTTATCAAAATACAGATCAATATTGAAGATAAACACATTGTTTTTGTTTTGTTCCCCTATAACAGAAGTCTTCCTTCCCTGGTTTAGCATTGCCTTTTAAAAGGCGCTCACCCTTAGTTAAGAACTGGAAATTCCCACCCTCGGATTCCTTAAAGGATGAAGAGTGTGCTCTACACTCAGCATACGTGCCTCTTGTATGCAAGGACTACTGATTGAAGTCTGTTTTGCTGTGTCTGGTTATGTTGTCTGCACTTTTATGAAATCACTACAGTACATCTACGTTGGAAATAATTATTAATTTGTAAAGAAATTTTTATTAAACACTGTAGAAAAAGAAAGTGAAGCTGAGAACTCTTCCTTTTGTGCATTTATATTTTCTGCTGAATTCTGATAGCCCACTTTTAAAGTTGTATTGACTTGTTTTTTCCTCTTTGATTATATTCAGATTTCCAAAGTTTTATTCAAATAAGTGCTGGCCTTCAGATCATAAGTATAAGAAATAGGCACCATATCTGCTGTTGCAGGCTTCTAAAACTTGCACTGCCCATCCATGCAAAATAAGTATCTTAAGAAATAGACACAGGAAACACACACTGGGGAGCCGTGTACTATGTCATCATATCTGTTCACTGTTGGCAGCAATCCGAACTGTGTGTGTGTGTGTGTGTGTGTGTGTGTGTGTGTGTGTGTGTGTGTGTGTGTGTGTAAGAGAGAGAGAGAGGAAGAGAGAGGAAGAGAGAGAGAGGGTTATACAAGGGGTTCTTTAACAGAGGAAAAGGTTAATCCTCTCCAGCCGATGCCCACTGGATATATAGTCTTTACACCTATAGGTAGTTGGAAATGTGGAGAGAAGAGAAGGTAGGACTTCTCAATGAATGAAAAAGGGTATCTTGATGCTCAAGAATTCCCCCCACCCCAAGTACGGGTAGTTCAACCTGCACAGTTTCCTTTCACTTGTAGTTTTAACAATTATGAGTGAAAAATCATGTAATTATCTGTAAATATGTAGCTAACAAATTGACCTAGTTTCTGTATTTTTTTGGTTTTGTACTAAAGTTTATAGGTCTGTGCCAGCTAGAGAGGTTGCCGTTGTTGCTAGTTGTGGTTCTAGCACCTAATTCTGAAACCATCCTAGGTGACATTTTTAGAATTAATGGTTAAATGTTGTTAAACAGGGAGAAATGGAGCTTAATCATTGGTCAGGTTTGAAATCATTTGAAACTAAGTAATTTTATTTAATATGATGATTACATGTTGTCAGTCATGAGTGAGGTGTAGGGAGTCTCCCTCCCCCAGTGGCCATGTTTACAGAGTGTTTTGTCTATAAAGTGCAAGTGTGTTGATGTTTATGTAAATTATGCAGGTGATAACTATGGTTTGGGACTGTTTATGGGCTCTTTTAACTGAATTTTAAAATGAAATGAACTATGCTTATTGCTGGCACATTGATCCCATTTCTGGAACATTTTTCCTACTTCCAGAACTCTGTATGTTCCTTGACATTACCCCCACTTAACCTCCCTTCCTCTGATATGCCTTGTAGCTAAGATATTAAAGACTGTTGAACATAGATGAGGGAAATGCATTTCTTAAAAATCCATGAACCCTCAATTGTATGCTTTCAGTATTGTGTTATATGTTTCTATGGCAACTTTGAAGTCAGTGGTTTAGAAATGAGATACCAATGTTAATGAAAAGTATGTACTCTTTGCTTTTGCATGGCTTGGCTTAGTGTCCAAGGTATATTAGAGCCACTTGAAAGCATGAAGACCAGTTATACGGAAACAGGTTTCTCTCAGTGGCACATTTTGCTTTTTCTTAACCCTCAAATACATTGCCTCGGCATGAACATTATTGTTAATATAAATTGCACATGGTCATCAAGCGAATTCTGTCACTTTGAAAGATGCAGCTGCCTGAGTTTGCAGTTTGGTTGGTCTCCATCTCCAATAACAGTGAGGGTACTGGAGCCCTTGCCCTTTCTCGGGGTCATAAACAGCTATCAGTTTATCAAGGCGTTGGCTGCCCTAGGGTATAGCCATGCTGTTGTCTTTTGCTGCCCATTCATTCCACATGTGCTGTTGTCCTTGCACGTCATACTCTCAAAGAAATCATCACCCTTTCTTCCTAACAATTTTATTTTGTCTTTTTGTCCACATTAAATGGGAATTGTGCCTATTTAGATTGCCCCTCAATTTAAATACACATGTAACCCAAGCCAGAGACAAGGTGGAAAAACATTTTTTTCAAGTCCACTTGGCCAGTAATTTACCTAACAAACTGTTTTACCACATAATCTTGACACTTGATAGAAGAGCCTATTAGGAGTCACGGTGGTTTTATAGAGTAAAATCCAAGTGAAGGGGGATGTGTGGGGTTTCCATTAAGAAATAATTTTGTTCTTATTTTACTTTTTGTGATCCTTCTCTGCTAGTTTAGAATAGGTTAATTCTCTTTTTTTTATTTTTTTAGGGAAATTTTTACAAAAACAATGGTCTGATGTAAATAACATTTTAAAGTACAGTGCACATAACTTCCCTAGGCTGTTCCAACCTGACTATTTGTAAATGCTTTAGAGTTTTTAAATTAACACTTGTGTTGCTAAATCCTATTTATGTAAGTCTGAAAAGGTTTTTAACCCATATATAAAACATTTAAATAATACAGGTTATAATGAGCAAGTTAGCTTTGAGAACCCCTCCTTTTAGTATATGAAAAAGCCTAATGCGCACTAAGAGGTTGGAGAGACTATGAGAAATATGTATAGTGTATATTTTAAACAGCTTTGCTTGTATTGTGAAGATTTAAGAACAAACTTGAGATTTTTAAAGTTAACTATTAACACAGTTTTAACATAAGTTATCCCACTGGGTTTAAAAGCATCTTGAATGTATAACCCTTCTATAACCCAGGTTGGTTTCTGCTTTTACCGAATCATCCAAACGTTATTTATATTTTTAGTTTTATGTATTCATTTCTTTTTGTTTTCCTCAAACAGCATGGGGTTTTTTTTTTTTGTTTGTTTGTTTTGTTTTGTTTTTGGTTCATTTGTGGGTTTTTGTTTTTGTTTTTGTTTTTTTTTGCACATGTCGAAATTTTAAAAAAAGAAGGAAATTAATACATGATTTTTCTCTGGATTTTCTTCACTTTAGTCTTTCTACTACTAACCTCTTAAAGGCCATGGCATTCCATTTGCTTATTTGTGCAAATGCCAGGGTTGGTTTTTATTTTTATTTTTGCTATTTACCTAAAAAAAAAAAAAAAAGAAAAAAGAAAGAAAAGACAATGCTTCAGTCAATTGCTTTTTTATTTAAAATTTAAAAAAAAAAGAAAGAAAAAAAAGCTGTAACCTTATCATTTCTGAGTAGACCACTGAGAGAGAAATGCACACCTGTCGGCCCAGGACCAGCTTCGATGGCTAAAGGGAATATTTTCACTAAGTAAGATGTTCTGTACAAAACGTGGTGTATGGTACCCACAATCTATTTCAGTTATTCCCACAAGTCAGGTCCTGATAAGTGAGGGTTATCAGCTAACTGATGTGTTATCATTGAGGTTCGTCAATGAATTTGTACATTTCTAGTTCCCTTTGGTGAAGGGGAAAAGTGATGATTTTGCGAGACCTAGATTTTGGCTTGGTTTCTTGCCTCCTTTTTTGGCAGCCTTCATCTTTTCCTGAAGCCCTTGAGCCTGTAGGGTTTTCATAGTGGACAAAGGACTTACGGTCGTTTAAAACGGAGAGATTTGGGAAGGGCAAGAGATTATCATGTTGAACACACAGTATCCTTTTAATGGTGGATAATTTTGAGTAAACCCAGTCCTTTCAAATTGTAGACTGAACAGATGCCCACAGTGGAGGCTTACCAAGGGTTGCATGAGGAAGAAGCCTCTCTCCCTCACTGTCAGCACCAGCTGGGAAAGGTGACTGCAGGTGTGCATTTTCCTTTTCATAGAAATGGTCCACAGCACTAACTGGTAAGGCTTATTGTACAGTATATTGTCAGTATTCTTCTGGTTCAGCATACCTTATAGTTCGTATATAACCTGTATTAATTGTATAGATTGTGCATTTAAAGCTGTTACCAAGTTGTCAGAATCTTAAGAACGAAAACAGGTCATATGTAATATTTTGTTTGTAAGTATCCTTTGTATCATAGCAAAGGAAATGTTTAAAAGATCAACTGTAATAAAAGTAATTTTAGTACACAGAGTGTCCGCTCTTTTTTTAATTTTAAGATTTATGTCCTTTTATGTGTATGGATACTTGGCCTGCTTATATGTTTGTGCACTGTGTGTGTGTGTGTTCCTGGTGCCTGAAGAAGTCAAAAGAGGGATCAGATCCCTGGAACAGGAGTTAGAGACTTGGTGAGCCACCATGTGAGCACTGGGAATTGAACCTGGGTTCTCTGAAAGAGCAGAAAGTGCTTTTCTCTATGCTACCTTGGCTGGCCTTGAACTCATAGAAATCCACCTGCCTCTGCCTCCCAGGTGCTGGGATTGAAGGCGTGTGCCGCCACCACCCCACCTCCGCCCCCCTTTTTTTTTCCACTGCTTGTTTTTAGTGAATAGAAGGAGTCAGGGTTGCTAAGGGTTCTATTAGCTGTATGTGGGGCCTACACACACAGTGACGAAGATTTTTACAGATGGATGTATACGTCTCCCTTTGGAGTCCTACTCCCAACAGCTCCAAAGAGAAATTTCTGTGGGCTTTTGTGGAGGGTAGGAGTGGGGTGTTTGCATGTATGTTTGAGCACCACATCTGTATCTGGTGCCTCAGAGGCCAGAGGAGGGCATCAGTTTCCCTGGAACTAGAGTTACAGATGGTTGTGGGTGCTGGGAATCAAACCCAGATCCTCTGGAAGAGCAACCAGTGTTCTTAACCACTGAGCCATCTCTCCAACCCCATAATTTCTGCTTTTGTTACCATCCTTTACAAAGTCTAAGATGGACATGTCCCACTACTATTTCAGACAGGAACTTGTCAAGGAAAAGCAATTTATTTATGACATAATTAAAGCTGGCTGGGTTGGGATTGTAACAGTTGGAGATAGTTGGTCTGGCAATGCTGAAACCTTACATCCAAATCCCAGACAAAAGAATTCAAAAGAAAATGTGGGGCATGGTGGCACACGCCTTTAATCCGAGCACTCAGGAGACAGGTGGATCTTTGAGTTCGAGGCCAGCTGGTCTACAGAGTGAATTCAGGACAGTTAGGACTACACAGAAACCCTGTCTCTAAAAACCCAAAAAAGAAAATGTGGGGGATGGGCAGCGCTTGGAGTTCAGTCCATCAAGAGGATCTGACTTCAGTCTCCAGAAGAGGGGAAGAGAAACTGGAACGCCTTTGCTACTCAGTGGGGCTGCCTTCCATTCTGGAGGGTGTACTTTCCACTTCGTTCTCTGAATCTGCTGAAAATAAGCCTTGATTACTTGTTCAAAAAACAAAAATAAACAAAACAAAACCAGGCTAAATCCCATTGCTAGGGAGGTTGTGGAGACAGACAGATCCCTGGGGCTCACTGGCCAGCCTGGTTTACTGGACAAGGTCCAGGTCAGTAAAAGATCCTGTCTCAAAAAAGGGGGATGGGTATGGGGACTGAGGATATGTATTAGCTCACAGTAGAGTTCCTGCGCCGTGTGTACAAGGCCTTGAGCTCTAGTCTAAGCAGCCCATAAACCAGGTGGGGTAGTGAGTGACTCCAGCACTAGGAAAGAGGCAGCAGGCAAGAAGTTCAAGGTTATCCTCAACTACATAGTTTGAGGCTAGCCTGGGGTATATGAAACCCTGTCTCTAAAACAAAACAAAACCACCTGAGGTCCTCTGGCCACCAAACATTCACACATACAAAAGAACACTGGTTTGGCTTCAAATCTTAGCCCCATCACTGATTGTGAGATCTTCAAAGTTCCACCTCTGGGGGCTCAGCACATGGCTCAATGGTAAAGTGCTTGCTGCTCAAGCATGAAGACCTGAGTTTGAATCCCCAGGACCCACAGGAAAGCTGGGCTCAGTGGTGTCTTGCATCTGTAACCCCAGCAGTTAGTGAGGGGGTAATGAAAGCAGGAGGATCCTTGAAGCTTATTGGCCAGACAGCCTAGCCAATCAGTGAGTTCCAGGTTCAGTGAAAGAACGTGAGGATGCCCAGTGGAGACCTCTGGCCTCCCCATGGACAGGCTGGCACATACACCCACACACATGCATACGTCGTGCACACAAAATAATAAAAGCCACATCTCAGAGCTCAGTCTGGTGGAAATGAGTTTCAGCTAATGTGCATTGTGCAGTCTCTTAATGGTGTTTTCAGTGTGTCTGATGGGAAAGTAGGAACAGCTTCATTAGAGGGTTTGGGTTCTGGCTGAGGAATTCGAGTTGGAGAATGGCCTCCACAAGCTTTCACTGTCTCCCTTGATCCCAGCAGACCTTACATACTAAAGCTCATCATGATTGCAGTCTTCTCCTATGAGGCAACTAATAAAATACCTCTTAGAGTCACTGAATGAATTTCTGAGGGAGTGCGCAGTTGAAACAGTTTTGCTATTGTCGCAGGGTAGCCTCAAACTCGAAATGCTTCCTGTCTCAGCTTCCTGGATACTGAGATTACAGGTGTGTAAAAAGCCACCTTGGCTTTCCCGGGATCATTTGAGTCTGTAGCTCCAGGTCATTATGTAACTCACACACATTCATTACTCACTGGAACCTGCCTAAGAAGCTACCATTGATGACCAAGGAATTTTAAACCTGCTGAGAAATTATTAGCTCGTTAAACAGCTGCTTCTGCTTAGTGTTAGAATGACCGGTGCGTGCAGGAGGCTCTGTGAACCCTTCGGCAGGTAAGCTGAGCTCAGTACACGGCAGACTTGGAAAGACAGGCAACACAAATTTGTTCCTAGAGACTAAGAACACGGCTGCGCATAGTAGTGCATGCCTTTTTTTTTAAGTATATTTTATTTTTATGTGCATTTGTGTTTTTGCCATGGGTGTCGGAGTCCCCTGAAACTGGAGTTACAGACAGATGTGAGCTGCCATGTGGGTGCTGGGAATTGAACCAGGGTCCTTTGGAAGAGTAATCAGTGCTCTTAACCCATGGGGCTCCAGCCCCATGGTGCATGCATGCCTTTAATCCCAGCATGTGGGAGGCAAAGGCAAGCTAGTTCCTGGTCTACAGAGTGAGTTCCAGGACAGTCAGGACTACACAGAGAAACCTTGTCTTGAAACACACACACACACACACACACACACACACACACACACACACACACACACACGAAAAAAAGAAAAGGAGAAAAAGAGATTTTCATTGGCAGGAGAGGTGGCTTAGTGGTCAACAGCATGTACTACTCTTGCAAAGGTCCCAGGTTCCATTCCCAGCACCCACATCAGGTGTCTTACAACCACCTGCTCCAGGTGTCCACTACCTCTCACCTCAGGCACCTGCACACAGGCCACAGACCCACCCCAAACATACATGTATAAATATAATCAAGAATAATAAAAGTAATCTTAAAAAGAGACCTTCATTTGAAATGAGTCCATTCTCAGGTCTTAGTACTTGTACCGTCACACATGCCAAAGTCTAGCTTGAATATCTCACTGAAAACATGGAGCTTGCTAGTCTGGGGGCATTCACTGCATTTCTGGGTACATAGAGTCCTTGGGTCTATCTTCTCAAACCTTCTAAAAGCAAACCATGATAACTAGTAAAATGTTCCGATGTCATCCTCTGTGGCTTGACTATGGCCTTGCACAATCTCCTTGTCAACATGTAAAAGTAGCCGAGTGGCTCATGTGTCTGCTTGCTCATGGCTCAGTGAGGATACCTTGGTGACTCTGAGGGTGTCTGACAAAGGGCCCTGTGGTTCGGGTGGGAGGTGAGCATAGAGGAGTCTGTGATGCAGGCGGTTTTGAGGTTATACATGAAGCCAAGACAGCAGTTCCTGTTAAGGCCTCTTTTTAAGCAGCGTTTGGGTCTTAGGAAGGATGTCTTTACACAAAACGGATGTCTTCTCAAAAGAGAATTCTGGTGTTCTGTTTTTCATCCTGTTGTCTCTAGGCACTATAAACTAAGTCTTTATGAGAATTGTTACAGCTTAGTACTGTGTGTGTACATGTGTGCAGGTGCACATGAAGCAAATAGTCAATGTTAAATGTTTTCCTCCATTGTTCTCTTATTTTTTTTAATAATTTACTGTTAAAAGTGATCATTAATAGGTATTTTGCCTGCACATATGTCTGTGTGAGGGTGTTGGATCCCCTGAAGCTGGAGTTACAGACGGTTGTGAGCTGCCATGTGGGTGCTGGGAATTGAACTTGGATCCTCTGGAAGAGCAGCCAGTGTTCTTAATCACTGAGCCATCTTCCCAGTCCCTTAGCATGGTCTTGATATCAACAGTAAGAACTTAGCATAGGCCTTCAGAGGCAACTATCTACTTCCTCTACTTTGATTCTCTGGGAGAAACAGAGGACTCCATACCCATTTTTTTCTCATATTATTTACTTACTTATTTTTGGTTTTTGAGACATAGCCCTGGCTTGTTATGTAGCTGAGGCTGACCTTGAACTTCCGATCTTCCTGTCTCTAACTCCCAAATGCTGGGATTACAGGCAAAAGCCACCACACTCTGCTCGGTCTCTGCTCCCGGGGTACTGCCTCCCTGAAGCCATTGCTTCCCAGGCTCATCCTCCTTTCCCCTTTGAAGGTGCTCGTGAAAAACCAAGAGACCAAAAGGCTGCCCGTGAGGAGGTCTGCTGCGGGGAGCATGATAGGGACCCACAAGGAGACTCACTGGTATTTCTTGGGGTTTGCTTTGTTGTTGCTTCCTTAAACTCAGAGCTTGTGTTTTGTTCAAAGAACCACAATTTCTCCAAATCATGTGCCTGGTTCTCCTCCAGCTCTTCCACAGGATTAGCCATTTACCCAAACTCACCCAATCTGGATGAAGGGCAGGGTCTCCCAAACCCTTCCTGCTTCAACAGAAATCACTCTGGTAAAGATGATCCTTTGCCCTAGTGTGTGTGTGTGTGTGTTTTGTTGTTGTTGTTGTTGTTGTTGTTTGTTTTTCTGTTTTGTTGTTTTGAGGTAGGGTCTCAAGTAGCCCATGCTGACCTCAAGCTCCTTCAAGGGTGACCTTGAACTTCTGAAGCCCCTGCTTCCCCCCCCTGGGATTACAAATGTGAACACGGGTTCATGCAATGCTGAAGACTGAGG